GAAATCAGTCACTATATAGAAGAACTTAACAATGTCATCAGTCAACAAGATCTAATCAACATTTCTAGAACACTCCACCCCACAACAACAAAAAAATACATATGCTAAGATAAACAATATGCAGGGAAATGAAACAAACCTCAACAAATTGAACAGAATTGAAATCACAGAGTGTGTTCTCTACCCACAATAGAATCAAACTAGCAATTATCAGCAGGTATCAGGGAAACCGCCAAAAGTTTAGAAACTAAACAGAACACTTCAAAATTATCCATGGATCAAAGAGTAAATCTCAAGAGATTTTTTAAAAATACCTCATTCTGAACAAAAAAGAAAACACCCCATATCAAAATGTGCAGGCCAGTTAAAGCAGTGCAATTTAATTGAACAAAGCAGAGAAAATTGTATCATTCGATGCTTACAATGGAAAAGAGGAAAAAGTCTTAAATCAATAATCAAAGCTCTTTACTTCAAGAATCTAGAAAGGAACTAAAACAAACCCAAAACAAATAGGAAGAATTAATAAAAAGCAGAAATTAAAGTGAAAACAGAGAAATAGAAAAATAGCAATGAAACTAAAAGGTGATTCCTTTAAAAGTTCAGTAGATAGGCCTATAACAGAGCTAACAAAAAATAACAAAAAATAATAAAGAAAGTATTAATTACCAATGTCAGGAATAAAAGAGGAGTGATGAGTATCAAATGGTACCACTCATCACTACAAACCCAGAAGATATCAAAGAGAGGATATAATGAAGATTTCCACATACATAAATTTGAAACCTTGAATGAAATAGTTCAATTCCTTTAAAAATACTAACTCAATAGGAAATACATAATTTGAATAGCCCTGTAACTATTTTAAAAAACTGAATTTTTAAAAACTTCCAAAAAGAAATCTCCAGGCACAGATAAGTTCATTGGAAAATTCTTTATAAAAACCTTATGTAAAAAGAGCACCATTTCTACATAATCTCATTCACAAAATAGGACAATTCTCTATTTCTAAAATTGTCCTAATACAAACTTCAATGAAAGACAGTACCAAAAAAATACAGATTAATATCACTCACAAATATAAAGGCAAAACTCCTTAACAACATATTAGAAAATAGAATTCAAGACTACTATATAGAAAAGAAGTACACATCTCAACCAAGTGAGCTCTATTCCAGGGATGCAAGGCTGGCTCCATAGTCAAAAACCAATGCAATCTACACTATGACTTCATACATACAAGGCTAAACACACATGCACACACACACATTTGACAAATTCAACACAAAGTCATGATAAAAACTCTCAGAAAACAAAGAGGTAAAAGAAATCCCTCAACTTGATAGAGAGCATCATAAAAAGACAAATAGCTAACAATACACTAAAAATGTCAAAAGCAAATGCTTATCCCTGAGGTTGGAATCAAGGCAAGGATATACGCTCTCATTGCTTCCATTGAACACAGTGCTAGAAATTCTAGCTAGTACAATGAGGAAATGACAGGCATACAAATAGGTAAGGAGGCAGTAAAACTGTCCCTGTTTTAAAGATGACATGATTGTCTATATAGAAAACCAATCAACCTAAAAGAACAAGAATGACTGAATTCAGAAAGGCCACAGGATATAAGAAAAACATACCAAAATCAATTTATTTCTGTATGTTAGCAAGACATGGGAACACAAAATAACCATTTATAATTGCACAAAAATCAAATACTTAGGTACACCTAAAAAAACACATACTGAGTGCATATGCTAAAAGCTACAAAACACTGGTGAAAGATTTAAATAAACGGAGATATAACATTTCCTTCTTTCCTCCCTTCCTCCCTTCCCTCCTTCCCCTCCCTTCCTTCTTCTTTCTTTCTCTTTATTCCTTCCTTCCTTCCTTCCTTCCTTCCTTCCTTCCTTCCTTCCTTCCTTCCTTCCTTCCTTCCTTCCTTCCTTCCTTCCTTCCTTCTCTCTCTCTCTCTCTCCCCCACCTCCCTCTCTTTCTCCCTCTCTCTCTGGAAGACTCAACACAATAAAGATGTCAATTTTCCCCAATTTGATACAGAGGTTGCACATAATTCCTTTCAAAAACACAGCAATCTCTCTCGTAGATGTGTACAAAGTTAGTCTAAAATTTATATTCTAAGGCAAAAGAACTAAAATAGCTAAAACAATTTTGAAAAGAATAAAGTTAAGAAATCAGTTTACCCAATTCCAACAATTACTATCTATCTACAGCAATCAGGACTGTGGCACTGGCAAAGGAAGAGACAAATACAGCAATGGAAAGCAACAGAGAACTCAGGAACAGACCCATGCAATATATGCTCAGCTGATACTGATAAAGGTATAAAAGCAATTCAGTGGAGCAAACAATGGCCTTTTCAAAAGATGGTGCTGGAGCAATTGGACATATAGGCAAAAAGAAAAAAAAAGAAAAACAAAACTTGACCTAACACCTAGCCTTTACATAAAAATTAACTCAAAATGGATCAAGGTCTTAAATGCAAAACTTAAAACAAAACTTTTAGAAAAAATATACAGAAGAAAATATTCAGGATGGGGCTAGGCAAAGACATCTCAAGACTTCACACATTTTACATGATCCATAAAAGGAAAAACTGATATACACTTTTTGGTACTCACCACTGCAGGCCAGAAAAATCCATTGTCATCTATACATACACCTTTAAAGCCAAAGTCAGATATACCTGCAGATATATTTTCTCACACACTCACATACACCCACACTCACATATCTCTGCTGTGTTTGAGATGCCCAAGGTCTGGTGAGGTTCCAGGACAGCAGCTTGGCAGGTCAGGAGGAAAACCTTCCTGAGTCAAGCAAGCACTGAGAGCACTGTTTGTAAGGTAATGACACCAAATAATCCAGTGCAGCATGTTCAATTAAAATATGGCATGATTAACATGACCCAAACCAAGTCTGCATACTTAGGCACAGGAATTGGTGAGAAGCGTGTGTTTTGGGAGTGTAAAAGCAAGATATACTAGTGGGAGGTACAAGAGTTCACAAGACCATCCAAAGACCTTTTGATGAAGGAACCCCCATTTGAGGCTTGGGAATAAACATAGATTTTGGTTAATGGAACACATGTAAATTAAGGGCAGTGTGTTGGGAGTGGGGCTGGGAGTAGCAGAATAGTGCAGTCAGGAACCTAAGAACAGCAAAAGGCACAAACTTCCAGTTCTAAGATGAATACGTTTTGGATACTAACACATGGCATGGTGACTACAGTTATAACAGTGTGCTTTAAACTTGAAATTTGCTGAGAGTCGATTTCATGTTCTCATCGCACACATGCACACACACGCACAAAAGTAACTATGAGAGATATGTTAATTAGTTTGTGGTAACCATTTCAGTGTATCTACAAATCAAAACATGTGCACAGTTTTTGCCCAAAAAAAGCAAAAAAAAAAAAAAATTAAAAATCTTGTGTTTTTAAAAGCAAGATCAGAAATGATACCTCACAAATACCTAGAAGTTTTGGGGACTTGCCAGTCCCCAGTCGTGCATAAGGCTCTTCTCTTTCCCGAGCATCTTAAAAAAACCTGGCAGCCCTTTTCAGCAGGAATAGGAGAATGTTGGAGCTGGAGTGCTGAGAGATCACCAAATCGCGCTGCAGAGTGCCTTTTTAGTGAAAGAGCTGAGGTACAGAGAAGTGCTAGGGTCCCAGGGTTCTGAAGGAAGTGTATTTATAGCAGAGCCAGGATGGGGACACTATCTTCTTATTCCTGCAAATGTCTAGTAAAACTGTCTTTCGTTTACGCATGTAACCTAGATATGATGGGAAGGAGGAACCAAGTGGTCTTCTGCCCCTTGAAATGGGGGTGAAATTGTCTTCCACCCCCTACCTATGACTTGGAGTAGTCCAAAGTACTCTTAAAGATGTCTCTAAATTCCCGAGGTTTAGGGGGGTGGCTAATGTCCTCCTGGCTGCCTCGAAGAAGGGGCTTTCTAGGGCACTACCTTTCCACAGTCACACACACCATACCCACCCAGCTGTATTATCCATCCTCTGCTACAGATTCAAGAGAGCTTATGTGAATTATGTATTTTTAAAATTATTGTAGCTTTATTTTTATTGTATTTTCTTCATTGCCATGTAGTCTCCTTATACCCCCTCAGTCACCATGCCGTTGTCCATGTCCGTCCGTTCTTATCAGAATTATATATGGTTTTAAATGGGCTTCTAGATGTGTTAACTTTTTTCACTGGCAACTTGCATCCAGTTGCCAATTCTTTAGAAACGAAAGGCTAAAATTAACACACACACTGTCGTCAACTAAATAATGACACCTGCACATCACTGGTGCTCCTCAGGCACCCGCTTGTGATGTGTAATAGAGGCCTTTCTGATTCCCTATACTATCGCCCAGAGAAGAGAGGCCTAGAGAGTCTAGTCCAGGGAAACCAGTGACCTCTTCAAAGATCAGTTTAATAAGTCACTGAAAATAGTATCTTTTTAATAATCCCTGAAATAGTATCTTAAGTAACCCGCTAAATTTCTGCAGAATCACTTTCCACATCAAACCCAATAAACAAGCCTTACAAAGGTAAAATGAAACGGTCATCATTAATGTGTATTTTCAAAAGCCATGAAGTGTCCTGTGCAGTGCAGACGAAGCTGTTGCACTCACGGGGTCCTCAGTCGTTTGGATTATTGTATACATCCACATATTTGGGATTTTAACCCCCTCTAAATATACCAACCAAGCCACCACACACGGAACAAAGCCACTTTTCTAACCAATTTTAGACTTGGGTGCATTAGTCAGAATTGCAATGTATGCATCAGTATCATGTTGTAGGTAGTTTCAGAGAATGCATGGAACAGGAATAAGAGGAAATTTTACTGTAATTAAACAAAGACATATTAGAATTACTTTGTAAAGAAAAGAAAATAATCCTCCCAGAACTTTCCAAGTCCTTGCAGGTGGTAAAGAAAACATGAGCCAGAGACCGCTGACTTAACAAATGTATGACTTTATTACGAGAAAAGGACAATATTGGTGTTTGCCTCAGACCAGTCAGGAAAACAAGCACACAAACTTATACAATACTTTGGTTTAAAAATTATTCATAATATCAACGTTAATCCTGATGTTTAAAGAATCAAATGGAACACAGGTGTAAAAAACAAACCGTAAAACACAAGCTTGCATAGATGAATTAATGTAGATGTGTAAGTGGCATTTAAGGGAGGCTTGAGCACTGGAGAGTCCAAATGACACTGCCACCTCCACCTCCCAGGACACATGAGAGTCACCAGCACCATGTTTCTTATTTTCCTCAATGAGGTCATGAGCAGGAACAATGTGTGCTGTATGGTGAATTAAAATAGACTGTCTCCATCAGCTTATCCAGATGGGTGCATACATACCCACCAGTCCCCACTGTCATTCACCTTTAAGGCATCCACAAAGTGTCCCTCACAGTTTCACTTAATCTCTAGATAGGCATGTGGTCTGAGGTGGTCTCTGTTTTCTGTCCTCTGACAGGCAACTGTGTATTCCATTAAGGTTCTGTTCAGCTTTATGAAGTAACTACTTCAAAGCTGCCTTTCGCTCTGGGGCTTGGCTAGAAATCGATGTGCACTTAGGATAATGCCTCACCTGTTTTTTAAATATATCCACATTGCAAATGTCAAAAGGCTTCTTACCAAAGAATCTGAAACTGTCTGGGTACCATGTAGTATCTCTCTCAAAAGAGTACTTTCCCAGATTGTAAGACAAATGACAGCACCACCTCAAATTTCCTGAGCAACTTGATTTATACAAGCAAACTCTTGTACTTTGTAATTCAGCACCTTTCAAAATATAATATTGTGCTGGGATAGATTCTTCTTAAGGAAAACACCATTTCAGAGAATTCTCATTTTGGATCATTTTTTATATGCTATCTGCCCACTATATCTCATTATATACAATACTTCATGAAATAAATACTGGGTTGCCTTTAAGAGGCAGGTAAAAAATACAGCTATTTCTGAGAAAGGGCATTGGGCTTTCAGGTTATAGCAAGAGTTGAAGTTATAACCTGCAGGGATTTCAAAAACTAATTCAACCAGAAATTTTTAAGATATTCTAACAGCAAAAACCCTCTCCCTAAATTTAACAGCTAGATGCTATTTTAGCAATGACGGTCTGAAATTCAGTGCAACAAAAACATACCCTAAGTATATAATGTGTAACAGGAAATTCTCCTAGCTGTCTTAGCTGTTCATAATCCTTGCTCTTTGTGAAGGAAATGTCCCTCAAACCCTGTCTTTTAATTCTTCTATTCTTTACACATGAACCTCAGCAATAAATAATGGGGCACTGAGTTATACAATTAATTCTGTCCTTATCTGAAATGCTGAAACCAGCATAGTGCTGGCTCCCTATGCTATGAAGAGTTACTCAAAAGGAGAAAAAACATTTTCTCATTTGCTGAAAATACACAAATGTATATTAACTTTATTTGGAACATGTTTCTAGGCAATTTGTACAAACATATAGGGGAAAGAGTGGTTTTTAGGTCCAGATATTTCCACAAATCAACATGATTCCTTAGATGGTTGTTAGTTTGTGGCACCAACTACAACCTTTTAAGTAAACAGTCTGGTATCTTCCCTACCACAGCAAGTTTCCTGGTTAATTTTCTGTTAAAAATAATAAACCAGAAAGACTCTTCACACCAACAAATCTCCAATTTCAAGTAAAGGTCTCTATTTTGTTTGGTTTTCTCTTTCTGTTGTTAATGCTGTGCACTTCCATACTAAGAGCACGGATGAAATCCTTACAAAACAATAATGAGTTGACTTCAATGCATAATAGAACCTTTGGAAATATCTTCTACATAGTCATAATGGAAAAAGACAGTCAACTCTCAATTATCCAGGAGGTGATCACCTGAAGAATTTGGCCAGGAAGTTTTCCCCCTCCTACCAGCATTTTTGGTCATGCCACTGCTCACCCACAGATAGAGAGGCAAACCTGAAATGAAATGGTGTATGTGCTGGTGTATTGGTTACCCACAGCTCACTGGAACGAGGTCCAAACCTCCTGGTGGCAAGGATGTTGGGCGATAATGGAGAGTTGACAGTCATTTACATATAAGAAGTACAATACACTGACCTCGGTTGGAATCACACTAATTAAGGCAATACTGCTCCTGAGACATCGCTGACATAAAGTGCAGGTCTCATCAGAAAAGTGACTCTGTAGAAGGGAGATTTTCCCAGTTTACCACTTCCTTCTTGATTTCTCCAGAATGAAATATCAGCACTTCCAACAACAGTTAAATGACAGGAGCAACACCCTTTAATGATCTTATATATCATCAGGATAAAAGATTCTTCCCCAGGAATTTGGATGACTTTGTGCCCTTGCAGCATTATTAGGACAGTCCCCAGTCTGCTTCTCCCTGCCCATAGTACCTCCTACGGGCCAAAGGGAAAAGGGATGCTAGCAATAGGAAGATAAGCAGTTATGGCTTTACGACTCACAGGCACCACCAGATGTGAGAGAAAAATGGGACCATTTTATCTAGTCACTTCTCTGACAATGAGCAGTAAGTAATGAACAAAGGACTTTAAAAATCTGTTTTTACCTTTTTGTTGAATAAACACATTTTTATTTTTTTATGATTCTTCCTAAAATACCAATGTTATCAGAGTATGGCACACTATGTACAGTGAAATCTACCCAATCAGTGTTCCTTTCCCACATTAACATTCCCTACACAAACACTGTTTTCCCAAAAGGGAAAAAAAGAACAAAACCTTTGAGTGCAAGTTCTATTCTGCTCTCAGTCCTTCAGAAAGCTGATTACTCAGGTGTCTTGTTCCACCATTTGGCTGAAAATTTTACAGCCAATCACCACAGTTACCTTTTAAGAAAATCTTCGCTGAATAAATGAATAACCTTCGTATTCCCAAAGTGATTTTTATACAAAGGTAACACTCATTAAAAATCAAGGCTCTAAAAGGTTAACCACTTACGTGGTAAACTGAATGCACCATATTATAATAGATGTTTCAAAGAACAATTTGGCACAAGACGAATTTAGAGAGTATTTGACAGTCTTAAAGAAAAATAATTATCAGTTAAAAGTTAATTATTTTCATACCAAAAAAGTCCTGATATTGAGGAACAGGTATGGTCAAAGTCAGCAATGAATTTACTCATCACACAATTGTGGCTGCAGGCCACAGCAGAGAAGAAAAGGAGGAAACGGAACCAGTCTGTGATTTTGTGAGTTCAGTGGAACACCAGGCCAAAGGTCACACATTTTGGAATATGTTGATGTAGATCCAAGTGGCCACTGCCATTCTGAAAAGGTTTTCCTCCTGGGAGCATCTCTCCTTATCTTTCTTTTCTAATTTAGATGTTTCTCTATAATCAAAAGCCATATATTATTTTCTTGCAGTTCATTAGACTGTTGCTGGTTATTGTAAAGACATTTGAGAAATAGTAATTCAATGGTACACAGTCACTTTCTAAAAGTCTCAACGTTCTTTTAAAGCATGCATAGCAACTGTCTCGTCTCTCAGTAAAACAATCTGGCTGATAAAGGTTTGACACAGAGCCAAACTTTTTTTTTCAACTCAGAACATTTAGGTTACCCATCTCTCACCTAGCTTCCAGGCAAGGACTCACACAAACTGAGGCTGGGGAAGGGGCTGTATATGTCTACTATAAGGCTCCTTAACATATTGTGCTCATTTAGCAATACTGGTTAACAGAGCCTGGCCTGCAGAGAACAGAGGTATAGAAACAGAAAGATTTTCCAAGGCCAGAAGTATCAGTTTATATCACAACATTAAAGCATAATGCATTGTGGGCCTAAAAATTAAAGTGTGTGTGTTCCAACAGTAGGAACAGGAATAAAATAAAGGCTCTCGCACTTACATAAAAATGACAAAGTGAAAAGCAGAGGACACAGTGAAGAATGTTTGGCAGTTTTTTAAAATACTCTTGTTAGTTGCTTCTGTACTCTCAAAGATAATTGCATTACTTAAATGGGAATAAGAGGATTTAACTGGTTGACTTTGATTTCTGTCTCCTTATTCACAGGGAAAGAATTACTCTGATACTCTTTAAAGAGTGCTTTACAAAAAATTAAGTTAAAAAACTAATATTTTAAAAACCTAAAAAAAAAAAAATCAAATTTTCAACAGAGATGTTGAATTCAGTGTCACAAGGGAAAATTCACCTTTGGTCACTCACTATGACAGTTAAAACACTAACATCCTGCTTAAGTGGCCTGACATTTTGGAATGAAATATATCCAGTGAGCATTTTACAATAATAAATACAATTGGATAAAGTACATGAGAGGCAAGAGAAATGCAGAATTTTAAAAGTAAAATTGATCAATGCATGAGATATAAAAATAAACATTTATAAAATAAAAATATGGCAAATGATATTGCCCATTTGCCTTATTATCAAATAAAAATACTTTTTTTTTTCTTTAAAGCTACCATAAAAACTTTTAAAAAATAAAAAGCAAAATCACAGGGCAGACAAAGAAATATATGACATTACTGTAAGTCAACAGGCCTAAGCTTTGGATATTGAAACCACCGTCTCTGCAATTTGACTTAAAGCCACGATCAATTTTGTTGGCCCCTGACTAAATGAAGACTGTTCTTCATTCATTTCATCACGGCCATTCAAAGTCCTGTTATTTTCCCTTTCCTCGTTTCTCTGAAATGACTACCCTCCTTAGGGTTTTGTTTCTTTATCATTTTCCTAAAACTTAACTCTTAGATACCTTTGACCCTAATTCATATAATCCAAAAACTTTATGAAAATAAAGACCCTTCCGAAAATGAAAGACCAAAATCTACTCTCAAAACTACTCTTAATCGCTTCCTGAATATTGCCTGACTCTAAATATCTGGAAAGATAAGGCAAATTGAAGGCATTTCCCAATGGGAAAAGAATGGATTAAGAGCTTTTTTCTCTAGTTGCCTATACATTTCATTCCTAAACAAATACCATACAATGAACAATAATAGGCAGTGAAGCTGTGAAGGGACTATATATATATATATATATGTATTATACATATGTATATATACACATACATATATGTGTGTGTGTTTGTGTGTGTGTATATACACAGCATGAATGAAATTTGTGTTTACTAACTAGTATAGGAAAAGAAGCATTTCCATAAGGTTATAAGCTAGACAAAGCCTAGATTCCTTGAAGAGGAGTTTGAAGGTCTTGTATAAAGGATCTGATGATCAAGTATCATTAATGAATGTGTAGAATCAAATACATGCATAAAGAAGCACTTTCTCAACTTCATGTTGAATTAATCTAATTATTGGGACATACATGAAACATTTGTGAGAGGTTGCCAACAAATACTGTTACGTTTTTTAAGTAAGAGGAAAACTTCAATCTATGGCCAGAGAGAATGATGAGATCATCACTTATGGACACACCTCCCCAATTCCATTTGCCTTGGCTGTGTAATTAAGTGTAAAATAAGAGAAGGAATAGAACATTTTCATTTTTAATTGACTTCACACAGACCTGAGTTAAGATATAATAGTTTTTTTCCCCCAATAAATACTAATAAATGAGCAATACCCAGAGTCTTCAGAAGCCTTGCTACTGAGGAAGCAATAGCAAGAAAATGTTAGAGAAGAATATCTAGGCCAATTTTCCCTAGAGGATGTGTGAGGATATGCAAAACCTCTAAAGTCCTGGTAGTCAGAGTAACATATTTCAACTGTTCCAGGTGTTTTTAAAAATACTTTATGGTTGTGGTATTTTTCTTTTCTTGAACAGTACAAAAAACAAAAGTCTCTGTCTTTCAATATATCATACACTAATGCACTCCCAAAAACTATTTCCTATATTTTTATTAGGCATTTCATCCAAACATATTTTACCTTTATCATTATCTTTACTAAATTCTAACTCCTAAATAAAGCTTAGTCCCTAGATGCCAATATTCCATACATAAGAAAAATGGCATTTTACAGATCTCTCAGATAGTATATCCCAGGAAGCATACGCAGTGTAGAGGTGGTCAATATTCAGAAGCTTGATTTTTCTTGTACTGCCCAAATGATCAGAAATAACAAAAACATTTTAAATGCATTAAAATTATTTATGGTCAGAAAAACACTTGAGGATAAATCCCAGGAATACAAACATGGGAGGAAAAAATAAGCATGGAATGCATTCTGTATCATCCAGTAACATTTGCAACAGTGAGTCCGTTTTCAAGGCAGAGTCCTAGGTTTCTACTGCTTATAATGGAAACCTGGGGAAGGGAGGAAAAAAGAAGAAACACCATTAAGGAAAAAAATCTTTGAAACTAAGCAATTTACAAATGCAATGCAATCCCTATCAAAATACCAATGGCATTTTTCACAGAACTAAGAACAAATAATTCTAAGATTTATACGGAACCACAAAAGACCCAGAATAGCCACAGAGGTGTTAAACAAAGTTGAAAGTACCACACTACCTGTTATCAAACTACACTACAGGGTTCTAATAATCAAAACATCATAGAATGGGCATTAAAAACAGACACATGGATCAACAGAAGACAACAGAGACCCCAGAAATAAACCTATGCCTATATAATCAATTAATCTATGACAATGGAGGCAAGAATACACAATGAGGAAGAGAGTCACTTTAATAAAGGGTGCTGGGGAGACTGGACAGATACAGCAAAAGAATGAAACTAGATCACTTCCTTATACCATACATCAATACAATGATAAATTCAAAATGGATTCAGGACTTAGATGTAAGACTCAAAACAATAAAACTCCTAGAAGAAAACACAGGCAGTAAACTCTCTGACACCATTCTTCGCTATATACATGTATATATTTTGGATATGTATCCTTGGACAAAGAGAACAAAAACAAAAATAAATACACAGGACTACATCAAAGTAAAAAGGCTTTTGCAAAATGAAGGAAACCATCAGCCAAAGGAAAAGACAACCTACTGAATGAAGAGAAGATATTCACCAATTGTACATCCACTAAGAGGTTAATATTCAAAATACATAAGAAAGTCACACAACTTAACACCAAGAAAACACACAATCCAATTAAAAAATGGGCAGAGGACCTGAAGAGGCAATTCTTCAAAGAAGACATACAGATGGCCCACAGACATGTAAAAAAGATGCTCAACATCACTAATCATCAGGGAAATCCAAATGAAAGCAACTAGATATCACCTCATGCTTTTCAGAATGGCTATCATCAAACAATCAACAAACAAGTACTGGTGAGGATGTGGAGAAACAGAAACCCTCATGCACTGTTGGTAGGAAAACAGACTGGTGCAGCTACTGTGGAAAACAGTATACAGTATGGAGTTTCCTCAAAAAATTATAAACAAACTACCACAGATCCAGCAATTCCACTTTTGGGTATTTAGCCAAATAAACCAAAAACACCAATTCAAAAAGACATATATAAACCTATGTTTACTGCAGCATTATTTACAACAGCGAAGATACAAAAACAACTTAAGTGCCCATCTATAAACAAGTATATTAAAAAAGTCATGGTACACATATACAATAAGAAATCTTGCCATTTGTAACAACATGGGCAGATCTAGGGGGTATTAGTATAAGCGAAAAAAGTCAGAGAAAGACAAATACCATATGATTTCATTTACATGTGGAATCTTTTAAAAACAAACAAACAAACAAACAAACTGGAAACAAAACTCACAGATCCAGAGAACAAATTGATGAATGGGAAATGGGAGGAGAGTTGGGAGGATGGGTGAAAAAAGGTAAAGGGATTAAGATGTACAAATTGGTAGTTGTAAAAATAGTCATATGGATTAAAATACAGCACAAAAAATAAAGTTAATAATATTGTAATACTATTTATAGTGTCAGATGGGTACTAGATTTATCAAGGTGATCACTTCGTAAGTTATATCTAATGATTATACTGTACACATGAAACTAACATAACATTGGATGTCAACAATAACTTTAAAAGATTAAAAATAAAAAAGTAAAAATGAAAAATTGAAACCTCAAAACTCTCAGTTTGCATAGGCAAAATTATTTATCTTTATGTCTAGGCATTTCCAGTGAGTCATTTTTATTGTTCTTGACTATAAAATATTTACATATAGAATCAATGTGTTATTTTAATATTATGTACCAAATATATGTAAAGAACAGGAAGGCATCCCTTAAAAAAATAATGCAGGTATACAGTATATGAAAAAAAAACCATGAGCTACTTCCAGTTAAACCAAGGATGGGGAAAAGGCCACCGAAGATTGGAAATTGTAGTGTATGTGTTGTTTTGATAAAGTCCAACTACTCCCATCTTTTCAATGTCTTGTATCTTATTCTCAACACTGGATGACTGTCAGAATGAAGGAGGGTGGGATGGTGGGAAGAAGAGCCTTTAAAAAAATACCAATGACTAGCAGCAACTCTCCGCCCCTAGAAATTCTGAGTTAATTAGTCAGGAGTGGCATTGTATATTGGTATTTTATAATGACTGTAGGGGAAAAAAAAGTTTGAGAAGGCTGTCATTATATTTGGAAAGGATAATGAAAACATCACCTAAGAAATCTTTGAATAAACCATAACAAATAATAAACATGAATAAGACCTATTATTTGCTTTCAGACATTTTACCTATATGATTCTGACAACACAGACACTATTAAAATCTCTTCCATTTTTAGCCCTGCTGGTGTGGCTCAGTTGATTGGAGCAAGGTTCCGTAAGCCCAAGAGTTGTGGGTTTGATTTCCACACAGGGAACGTGCCCAGGTTGCAGGTTTGGTCCCCAGTTGGGGCACTAGCCAGAGGCCACTGATTGATGGATACGTCTCTCTCCCATCGACGTTTCTTTCCATCTCTCTCCCCGTCCCGTCCCCTCTTTAAGCATGTACTCAGGTGAAGATTAAAAAAAAAACAAAACACCTCCACTTTTAGATGAGAAAATTAATACAAGAGACTATTTTTTTATTATCTCATTTTATGACTCTTTAAAAAATACATTAGTGAATGTGTATGTTTTGAAGAGTAACTACAAACATTTCTTTCATTTTTAAAGATCTGGTCCAACTTAGATCTCATACTCTTTCCTCATTTTCCTTGCCCCATTTTTCTTTTGCATAAGTGCTTTGCTGTGTGTATGTATGTGTGTATTTTAAGTCTAATAAATAGATTTTTAGACTCCCAATAGATTTAAATGGTTATTTAAATACATATAAACAACTATCTTTCAGAATCTGATGAAGCAATGATATCTCTCTTCAGAAAGATGAAAATACATACAAAACTCTGCATTCAATTTAAGATGTTTTATGTCTGTGTTGTTAAAATTTTTTATTTATTAATAAATGAATACTATAATGTTCTGCTAGGAGGAATATTTTTCCAGTCCAGTGATCTTTAAGACAGCATTTGATTTTTCCACCATACCGTAAGGATTACTTAAAAGAATCCTAAACTTGACCATATACTATTTTCTTACCTTTATGAGAGGATTCTGGTTTTGAGAAATGACGTGTGGAATTATGCTGGTTAGTAAAATAAGTGTAACCCAAATCCTCAGCTTCTGTCACGGCAGGTGGTGGCGGCCTGAAGGGAAATCTGAATTTAGAGATATTCATAGTGGTGACAAGAATTCTACTGCTCATTGGATCGCACGGTAAAAATATTTTTGGTACAAATAGAAAGTCAGAATGTTTTAGAATTTTCACTTTACTTCCTGGCCAGTTGCATGAACTTGGATAAATTATTTTATCTTACTGTTCTCCTTTATTTTGATGCACATAATTCAATAAAAACACACGTTTTCGAACACCCAGTATGTGTGAGGCGTGGCGCTAAGGACTGGAGAAACAACGATTAATGAGATGTGACCACCATCACCAATGAAAAATTTACTTGGCTTTGGTAGGTTTTAAGAAGAAAAAGAGGAAAAAGGGAAGAAAAGCAACAAAGAAGATAATAAAGTTAAGGAAGGACGGTAGAAGAAGTGAGACAGGGAGGGCAGCAGGTAAAGTGAGGGGATGAAAGTGGAGAGAGAGGGAGGACATTGATTAACATACAAAATTTACTGCAAAATTCCTTAATCCACTAGGTGGCAAAGTAGAGCTTAGAGAAGGAAAAGGCAGTCATGTGTCTGCAACTTCTCAGGTCAAAAAAAAAACACTGTAAAAGAGTTGGGAAATTTTTACTATTCTAAACTTTTTATTATTTTAATCATGTTATAAAGATTTTTGCAATCATTTGGCTTTAATGAAGAATAAAATCTCTCCTTTTTTGTTTTGTTGTTGCGTTAAAGCATGGAACCATATAAGGTTAGTATTTGTCAATATATAACCATGTCCTAGGATGTTTTGTGTAATTATATATACAATCTGGAAGGCATGAGCATTCTGCAGTTTAGAAAGTAATACTAGTAAATACATTGGGCTCTGTCATATAAAAATAAAGGCAAATGTTTTCAAATGCCTCACCCTCTCCCAAAGCAATAGGCCTCTCCTGGGTATTCAGTATCTCAAAGAGGTCAGCATGGGGTATAAACTTGTGTACATAGTAAGGACTCCACTATGGGTTCTACATTAGTATATCACTTAAATTTTAAGCTAAGCCTGCATGTCGCACATACATTGTAGAGATAGATTATGTAAGATGAGGTAAGTGATCTGTCCAATTTCACACTGTTGTTAAGTGGCAGAGCCAGGGCTCAAACTCAAATGGATTTCAGAATCAGTGCTCTTAACTACCACACTGTAATACAGAGGTACTTATTTTTATTAGTGGCAGCATCTTTATTCAAAACTACATGTATGAAAAAAATAAAATACCAAGTAGTATTACCAATATAAAATCCTATGGTTAAAAGAATTTGGAACCTGGGTTGAAACTTTTTCCAAATACTAAGAGGTAGAATTAATTTAGACTGCCAAGTGGTTCTCTGTTTCCTTAGGAAGAGTTGAAAACTTTCATAATAGACAAAGAAATTTATTTGCGACCATGAATGCTACAAGCTCTAAGAACCTGCATCCCCTCTGCTACTATTATGACTACACTGAAGTAAACATCTTGACTTAGGTAGATCCAAGTTTTCCAATCCTTGAAACTGTCTTTTTCTATACAAATGGCTACACTTTTCTACCATGATTAATTCTGAAAGAGGAACACATAGATACTAACCAGGAAGCATACATTCCGATTATTAGTTGTACAGAGAGGTACAATAAGGGAATAGGCTTTAATTTTAAAGTATGAACATACAGGTTACATAATTTTTGTTTTGTCATATACATAATCTTTCTGTAAATTATATGTAAAGACAAATGTTTCTCTTAGGTCAAAAAAGACTTCAGTTCTACTAGTTGTAAGTCACTTTTCACTTATAGCCATTTTTCATACAGGATCATTTGATTATTTTTACAATATGCTAAACATTCTTAAGAGTGTCTATTACATTCCCAAAACTTGTTTTCAACTTTAATAAACCTTTTCAAATAGCTATTCCAGATTGTTCTGCCTTATCTGCTGTAAAGTTGTAAGTGTTCTAAGAATCCCTTGGACTTTTGAAGATGGCAAAATAATTCTAAAGAATTTAGTTCACTTGACTAAAAAAAAGCCTAAGAAATCACAGCTATTCACTTACTGAGAACAGATTAGTTAGTTGTTATTTCAAGTGAATATTGCAGGGATGTAAATAAAACTAAACCATATAGTACTAAAATCTGCTTTAAAAACTGTTTGGCATATGCTTAACTAAAAGCTACAAGAACCAATTTTACACAATTAGACAAACCACACTACTGTTGTACTTAAGCTTCACAAATCTGATATAATTTTCTAAAGAGTCCTTCTCTTCTGAAAGCCCATGAATTTAAAAATAGAATTTGGCTTTTCAGGACACTATGTTTACTTTAAAGAAACAAGTAAAGCGGCTTAAGTATGGGCAAATAAGGGGTAACAACAGTGTATATTTTCAGTGTAATGAAACATATTTTAAGAGTTAATAAATGTTATTAGAAATCAGGACCAAAATTCAATATGCTAATAATTTAGAATTTTCTAAATGTCAGATTTAGTGTTTTCTGTCTTTTTCTACTTAATGTTCTTTCCTTCTATTCCAATCATATTTTCTTTTGAAAAGCAACAGAAAGCAATGAAGGGAAAAAAAACTTGCTTCCCCAGAGGTTTAAAGGTTGACATATTGAGGTAAAAAGACAGCAGTTGCTCCATTACTATGGCCAAAGACTGCTTGAGATAAGTCAGAAAGTATCTACACCAGGCACAGTGATTTGATCTGGTGGGATTTATAACAGCCTGTAACGACTCAATGAATATTTGCCTAGGACACTGAGACTCATGCAGAAAGGAATTTAAGCACGTGTGAATGTCAGACACACCAATGCGATCACGAACCTCAGTAAAAAATTAAAGCCTGAGATTTTACTTAAGAAAAAGTATAACCTCATCTCTTCTTGGCTGAAGGCATCTGTTCAGTGAATACAGAGATAAGAACTGGTCCTAATAAAAAGCACATCCTTCCTTTCTATACCCCAGCTTCTGTAAAATTTCCCTTCCTTCTGATTCAACTTGCTCAATCCAATTTAAGACTAGAAACAAAAGTTTTAGAATACCCTGCGAGACCCGATGCCACCTCATGAGGGCAGATGCCTGGACGTCCTCCGTCAACATCCCTTTACTCACCCCAAAGTTAAGTTCCTCACTCTCTGCTGCAGGTATCAACTTACCGTGCTGGTCTGTCATTCTTAGATCGGTGAGCCTCATCGCTGTCTTTTGACTTTGAGTGTGCTGATTTAGAAGTTTTGGGCTACAGCAGAAAAAACACAAAACAAAGAAAACAACGAAAAAAAAAGCTTAGGTTTGGAATGTATCTGTATCATGCCAAACTACTCTCCTTTAATAATTTCAGGTTACTTACATTCAGTTGAAGACATAAAATATTTTTAAATACAACCACTCAGAGATTAAAAAGAACTTAGTCACCAAGGTATACTGGAGGCTGTCATAGTCAGATGAATGGGCTAAACCCAGACAAACATGCTCTCCCACAGGGTATGCCTGGCCACCCATTATTAACATAGTGGCTACACACCAGCTAACGAGAACTGGTGGGCTCCCCGAGTCCATGGAATCTAGGCGTCTGCTCTTACCCTTATTTCTGAACACCTGACCTAGGGAGGGTGATTTTCAAGTGAAACACTAAGGCTCATGTCAAGGCATTTTTCCAAGAGAAGAACTGTACCAGCACCAGTTCTAGAAAAGATCTAGGAAGCACAGAAGTTCTGATACCTGACAGAAATGTGGCCTTCCTCTCTTACTTTACCGACTTATAGTCCTTAATAATACCTACTCCTTCATAATCAGGTTAACAAAGAAATTGAGTAGCTCCTGGGCAATTATTTGTGGCTTAATTAATGGAGAAGCATTTGGGAAACTCTCTACTAAAAATGAAATGAGTTAGAAAAAATCCTGAATGTCAAAGATGGTAAAAGAGGGAGATAAGTATAAATAATTAACATGGAAATAATACTTTGATTTGCTTTCAGACTGACAACCGTGTAACTGAGCAACAGGAAGTAGATTACTATTATCATGATTCCTGTATCTTCTTTTTCCTCATAGCCAAGAATCACATAGGACCAGAGGCCCAAGGGAGGAATTTGTTAGAGAGAACAGGCGGATGCACACCCTAATTGCATCCATCCAGCTAATACAAACTTTCGCCCTAGAGACACTTTACTATATGAACTCTCCCCCTTCTCCTCTGATGGTCTTCCATTATGCTTTGATCAGCCAGCTTGACCTTGTATTTGTTAGTGTCTACAGTCTGCCTTCCTGCCTACGCTCTTCACTATCATAGGGAAATATCTTTGTCTCTCCCTGTAAGTCCAGAGAGATGCTTTGAACAAAGTAACTAATGAGTAAAGTCTGTTAAATGTATTTGCAGCCACCATATACAACAATTAGATTACTGTAGAGTAGAATGAATTGACATCACCGTCTGTTGTGTCTCCTAGTTCTGAAAGTTCTGCATTTCGAAGGGGAAGGCAATAGCTCAAGCTCATTCTAGACAGCGCTGCACTCTGATGTAAGCAATGACTGCTGGTGGCATCTGCCAGACTGCCAAGGACCAAGTGGCAAGAGAAATGATGAGTACATAATCAGGGATGAAACACAGTATCAGCACATAGGGAAAGCACAGACAGGAAGAAAAGGCTCCTGTGGAAATTTGAAAGCATATGAAAATGCTAAATTCTCCTACAAGTTAACTATAGTAAAACTAAGATTGCTCATAACCAGAAGACACTTGCATCCTGACTGCTCTTTAAATGAATGAGTTTTTCAATCTTAGTAACTTTTTACATAGTTACTTTCAAGAATTTAATATGATTTTTTTATAGTGAAACAACAAGTCAGATTCAGATTATGTGATACAGGTAATTTGTATACCCTAAATATATTTGCAGGGTTTAACCTAAAAACAGAGTCCCCTTTACATTTCTAATTTTACTTACCATTAAAAAAACAAAAACAAAAAACAAAAAAAAAACAAACAGGCCCTACCTTCCCATCAGGGTCATGTTTTCTTTTGTCCAATGATGACTTCTCTCGCTCCTTGGCTTTCTTGTAAGCTTTCTTTTCTTCAGCCATTAGAAGTCTAGCAATTTCCTAAAACAAATCCAGTCCATATTCTCATTGATTACAGAACTGCAGGTAGAAAATTACTGTCATATTTCCAAAGAGTACTGGCTAAACGAACTCATTAATGTGAACTCACCTCATCCTGGGCTACTTGAGCTGCTCTCATGTCCACCTGGGTTGCCTATAGTATAGAAAATATTAATTTAATTGGATTCTATTCTGTCCATTTTTTTAAATCTTACATAAAAATAAACTGGTATTTGAAACCAGTTGTGACTAACATCCTCAAGTTGGTAACTGGTGCATACATTCACCAGCCAGGGCAGGGTCTATTTTCACCAAATCCTACAGCAGATTCTTAGAGAATTATCAAAACTCCATATGGAGAGACAAGGATATGGAGTCTGTTGCTAATGTTTACTCAGTAAATAAAATTAAACACTATTCCTGTTGTTTGGATTTTTCTACCTATAAAAAAGGTATTAGTTTCTCAACTGATAAAGGACTGAAATACCTATTGTATAATCTACGAATGAATCAATTCGCACACACAAACTTATTCACATGAACTTGTGCTTTAAAATTTGCTCACCAAAATTTCTTCTTCCTGCAGCTTTCTGGCAATTTCAGCATCGTACCATTCCTGGCCCCGGTGGCTCACTCGCGATGGAGTAGAGACCGCTTCTTTCATCGCTCGTGGCTTTGTTCCTAGGAAAAACTCAATGTAATAAGTTGACCAAGTTTTGTTTTCTATAAATTTGGAAAATTTAAGGGGGAAACAGAGAAACCTTTACCTTAAATTTCACCTTTTTTTTTACTATCTAATGCTGACAATACAGTTGCCACTCCAAAATTCAGTGGAGGGTGCCCTTGAAATAATTTTTTCCCTGAGACATGGAAGAGGTGATGCCGATAACCCACACAGTGAAACGAAGCTACCCACCCAAACCTGCCTGGTAAAACCTCCCCTCGCACATAGTTTTCTCAGGAGCAGGGAATCAGCAAAGCACTGTGAGGCTTTTACAAAATAAAAAGTGAAAAAAAAAAAGTCAAGTCACTGAAATAAAACTAATTTAGAGAAAAGAAAGTTACAGAGTTGAGGTTACAGAAAGAGGCTAAGCTATCAGGACTGGAGGGCATGAGAAGCTGCCTTTTATGTGCCTCAGCCTTGCACACCTTTCCTCAGAGGCAACAGAAAGAGCTTCCTTCACCTGGGAGTTCTGGGACCAAGTGCCTGAGAACCACCCAGTGGTCCTGACATGGCTTCTGCTCTGATGGTCAACAAACTCTCTAGCTTTTTAGATCTCTCCTACAGCTTTGATCTGTTTAATGTTGTTGCTAAATATTATGGAAGATATAACAAAGGAAATAGCATGATGACTCTACAGTTCTGTTCTGAGAAAGGAATAGGTGGGGACTGATGGGATATCTTGGTGTTCTATTTTGAAATTTTATCTGTAGCACGTATTCCTTCTGTACTTTTTAATTAAGTAGTAAATGCTAATAATGGTCATTGCAAAATTATAGATATTTTACTCTTTGTACCTTTCATAAATTATAAGTATTCAACAATGTGAATGTATTATATTCAGAAATAATAAAAATGGTTAATGTGGTAAAGATGATTAACCATTTGAAACGGTGGCTTTCAGTAAATGGATTACTGATGGGAGAAAGAAAATTCACTCCTAATTGCCTGTTTCTTTCTATACCTTGTTCTCAACCATGGCTATGTACTAGAATCACTTGTGGTGCTTTAAATAAAAATAAAAATCTTTGACCCAAACCCCAGGGATTCTAATATAAGTAGCGAGGAAATACCTGATCTTTAGAATTTTTTTTTAAAAATCTTTAACAATTGATTCTTATCAGCACTGGAAATATCAGCTTAGTGTATTATGTCCATCAAAATAGCCATACATTTAAAACAGTTTTTACCAAAATGCTTCACCACACTTGATTTGCTTGCTTTAAATGAAAAAGAAAAAAGCAAAGAAAAGAAAATACCACCCAATTCTGGGCAAATGAATAAAGTCTAAGTTAGCTGGTGAAGCCTTTCTTTGTAAAGCTTTGAACCTAGCTCTGTGGTAAATTTTACAGCCACAGACTCATCTGCCTTTCCCACCGAAAAAGGACTATTAAACATGGTTTTCTTAGCTTCAGGCCAATTGATACATGATTACCCAGAATACAGAATCCACTTCAACTTCACATCATTTCTAGAGCTACTGAATCTTATGCCAGGCTGGCCTGTTTTTAACCCAGATTTCTAAGTGGTTTGGGGCAGTCACAAAAAAGGGGCATACACCCAAGGCTGGACCGTATTTAAATGGAATATAAACCTCCCTGAGTTATGATGAGTGTGGTCATAACTGCAGAGGAACATTTTAGGTAAAATAAATGAAATTATATAAGAAAGTTAGTATTGAGTAAAGTCAATGGACAAGATAGGTTACTATATCTAACTCCTATTTATAGAAAACTAGCACTTCAATGAGCAGCCCAAAGCTTAATTGAGGACAATAGGAAAGATGATACTTACACCTTGCTCCTTCAATTTTGCCATTCAGCGAAAGAAACAATATAGTGGGATACAATCAGCTTTCAAGATACTAAACTCTCTGCACTGTTATGCCTTACTCTACACAACAGAATTAACTGAGAAAATACTGTAATACCTATCAAAAATACTCGGAAGGCATTAAAATGCAATAGCCTTAATTGGCTTGACAGGTTGACAGGTTGACAAGATTGTGACTTCTAGGCAGTTTAAAAACAGTGATCAATAGAATAGAATAGAAAGCCCAGAAAAAAGCCTGTAACATATGATCATTTACAACAAAAGAACCAAAAATATACAACAGGGAAAGCAGTGAAACTGGACCACTGTCTTCCACCATATACAGAAATTAACTCAAAATGGAATAAAGACCTGAACATATGATCTGAACCATAAAACTCCTACAAGAAAATACAGGCAGTCAGATCCTTAACATTGGTCTTGCAGATGATTTTTTTTTTATTTGACACCAAAAGCAAAAGCAAATAAAAAAACAAAACAAGAAAACAAAACAAACAAAAAAACCCAAATGGGACCAATCAACCAAAAAGCATCTTCACAGCAAAAGAAATCATCAACAAAATCAAAAGGCAATCTATTAAATGGAAGAAAATATTTGCAAATCACGTATGTAGTAAACGGTTAATATCTAAAATATAGAAAGAACTTATAAAACTCAGTAACAAAAAATTATATACATATATGATTTAAAAATGGACATAGGATCTGAATAGACATTTTTTCAAAAGAAGACATACAGTCAATAGCTACATGAAAAGGTGCTCAACATCACTAATCAACAGGAAAATACAAATCAAAGCACCTGTTAAAGTGGCTAGTATCAAAAAAACAAAAAATGAGTATTGGTAAGAATGTGGAGAAATTAATACTGTTTATGGGAAAGTATACTGGTGCAACCATTATGAAAAACAGTTTGGATGTTCCTTGAAAAATTAAAAACAGAACTACTGTCTTACCTATAAATTTCAATTCTGTGTATTTATCTAAAGGAAATAAAAACACTAACTCAGAAAAATATATGCACCCCCATGTTTACTACAGCATTTTTTGCAGTATCTAAGACATGGAAATAACCTAAGAGCCCACTGAGAGGTGAATGAATAAAGGAGATGAGCCACATAGCCATGTGCCACTGAACAATGAGAACAGTTCTGAGAAATGCATTGTTAAGTAACTTGATCGATGTGGGAACATTATAGAGTATACTTACACAAAGCTAGATGATATAACCTGCACACTAGGCTATATGGTATGGCCTATTCCTCCTAGGCTACAAGCCTGTATAGCATGTTGCTGCACAAAACAATACAAGATTAAATCAAGTACAAGAGAAAATGGTAAAATCGAGAGACAAGGTAAACATGAGATGTATGAGGCTGCTGCTAGCCTAACAGGATATACTGTTTTACAGCAAAGTTTTTCTTAAGTAGAAAGAGTACACTAAAAAATTAGTAAGAGTACAGTAAATACATTAAGCCAGTAATACAATTGTTTATCATCATTATCAAGTACTATGTACTATATGTAATTGTACAGTTATACTTTTATACGACTAGTGGCTCAGGTTTGTTTACACCAGCATCACCACAAAGAGGTGAGTAATGCCTCGTGCTCTGATACTTAGATGGCTATGATGTCACTGGACAATAGAGATTTTTCAGCTCCATCATTTTTTTTTCTTTATTTATCCTCATCCAAGGACATTTTTCATTGTGTTTTAGAGGGAGAAAAAGGGAGGCATAGGCACTTTGACACAAGAAACATAAAATTGGTGGCCTCCCATAAGGACTCAGACGTAGCTAAATCACAGGGATTGAACCTGAGACCTATGCATGTGCCCTGACTGGGAATTGAACCAATAATCTTTCAGTTATGGGAGGATGCTCCAACCAAGACATACTGTCCAGGGCTCTACTGCATTCTCATAGGACCGCTATCGTATATACAGTTTGCCATTGACCAAAATGTCATTATTGGCTCATAACTATATATATAATGGAACATTATTGAGCCATAAAAATGAAATCTTGCCATTTGCAAAAACATGGATAGAACTGCAGAGCATTATACTAAGTGAAATAATTCAGAGAAAGCCAAATATCATATAACAGCAAATATATAAGAAATCTAAAAGGTAATGTGTTCATAGATACAGAACACATATCGGTAGGTGCCAGAGGTGGGGACGGAGCGGGGGCAAAATAGGTGATCTTAATAATGGGTCAAAAGCTACTGGCTTGCAGCTATAAAAAAAGAGCCATGGAAATATAAGATACGTATGTTGACTGTAGTTAATAATATTGTATTGCATACTAGAGAGCTACTAAGTGAGCAGATCTTAAAAGTTCTTATCCCACACACACACACAAATTGCACCTGTGTATGGTAACAGATGTTAATTAGATTCATTGTGGTAATCATTCTGCAATATATACAAATATCAAATCATTATTGTGTACACATTAAACTAGTATGTTACATGTCAACTATACCTTAATAAACAAATTGTTAGAATTTGAATACCTCGCTGAGTCCCAAATACTGGGTTGGCAAAAAAGTCTTTTACATTTTTTCCATATGATAGCTCTAGTAGTGCTTGCCTTTAACATGAATTCATTTGAAACAATTTAGTTAGATTGCATTGTGACAGTTGTCATATCAGTGTGCCTTTAAAAAAACATCAAAATTGGTGAATTTTTGTGTAGCCATTTTACTACTGAAAATGGAAAAAAAATAACATTTTTGGTGTATTATGCTTTATTATTTCAAGCAAGGTAAAAACATAACTGAAACACAAAGAAAGATCTGTGCAGTATATGATAGAGAAGGTGCTGTGACTGACTGAAAGTGTCAAAGGTGATTTGCAAAGTTTCTTGGTGTTACTGCCATTTTGACCAAATAATTTTTTGCTGTCGGGCTGTCTCATGCATTGGGAGATGTATAGCCGCACCCCTGGCCTCTATCCACTAGGAGCCAATAGCAGGAGATACCCAACATACTCAAAACAGAAATCAATAAAGTTACTGGTGAAAATGAAAAATGTGTCTTTTCTTTTACAGAAAAAACATAACAAATTTTTTGGCCAACCCAATACATAGTAGGAAAAGTTTATTTGATCTCTTGCTGTATCACTGGAACTTGCACATGTCTTAAGTAGAAAATCTCTATGGCTCAAAATAATTTCTAGATTTCTGGGCTGACAGGGCTGCCTGCCCACTCAGTGCAGTGCTCTCTGTACCAGAGGTAGAAAGAGCTTTTGTAAATATGTAAGAAGGAATTTCAGACAGTGCAGTCTAAGGCTGTCATTACAGAAAACTGAGAGGTGCTTTAAAAATTTTAAAAGCATAGTTAATTAAAGAAAATTAACAGAATACCATAGTCTGAAAATTCACTTTCAAAGGTCAGATCAACCATATTCCAAGAGTTCCACATTCATTTCTTAATCTAATTTTTGCTTGTCTTTTTCTGCATATCATTTGCCAGTTTGAGGACAAAGGACCCTTCCTCAAAAAAACAAAAATAAAACTTCTTTAGATAGATTCTGCTAAAAGTAAGGTAAAATGATGATCGATAGATTGACTGATATAATGCAAGAACATTTTGGTAATCGGCCAGCCTGACACGTGGGGAACGTCACAGCAGAAAGGCGAAGCAGCTTTATGGCCAAGAGAGGATGGAGGTTACCCCACAGAAAATTAATAGGCTGGTAAGAGGTAACAGCTCAATGGAGAAATCACCCTCAAAGGTCGTATGGTTTTACTGCCCTTTAGAAGGTTATCCAATTTTATATTTAATCTAGCAATTTTATCTTCAATTCCCTTTTCAGCTGACTCTGAAATCCTATCCTACAAATGCTTAGAACTATTTGTCGTCCTGCTAGTTTCTTCATTATTAAGTTAAATTTGGCCTATGCTAATAACTTCAGGAACAGACACGTGTGCCTAGTAAATATAATGTAATGTAATCTTCTAACCTATTCCAGGAGATTTGCAAAATCTAGCCTAGAGGGGCTAGGAAGGTAAAATTAGTTAATGAAGTTGAACAGAAAATGATAGACACAGCAGCTATGTTGTAGCCACATTAGTATCCCTGTGTTGGTAATTAAAAAATATGTGTGTGTGTATGTGTGTATGTGTGTGTAAGTAGAAATATATAAATAAATATATAAATACACACACACACACAGACACACACCCCCCCCACACACACACACCCACACCCACACCCACACCCACAAATGCCAGTAGTAGGGTCTGTGAATCGGTGTTTGGTTTCATATTAGTTTTGCCCTTCCTAAGCCTGTTTAAGATACCCTCAAGTATAACTAAAAGCCATAAAGCCACAAAGGTTAACGAGCACTCAGAGCACATTTATAAGGTGAGATTCATAGGATCAAAAATATAGACACGGGTATAATCACCATTCCTCCCCCAAACCTTACGACGCCAACATGTCTTTCTAAATCTGGATACAGTATAACTTACCTACAAAGCCTACTCTACATAGATTATATATTACTTCCTCCTCTATGTCCCCATAGCTCTTTGTTCACAGTATATCTAGTTGCTTGTTTACAGATCCATCTTTCTGGTTTGAGTTATTAACTCTCTGAGGCTTGGATCCAGGCATAAACCTGCAAACACAAAACCTGAGGCAAGAATATTTGTGGCAGATACAGAATATGCTTGTTGAACTGAATTTCTTATTTTCTTTATGATCAAGTCCTTTAATAACTTAAAGAATTAACATAATAGGAAGAAGCAACTAAATCAACTTGACTCTGCAGCCCAGAAACCAGCTTCCAGAACAGAAGTAGAGGCTGACTAGGCAATGAAGAAAGAACAGATGCCTCCTTGTTACTCCTTTCCCAGTAACCCTTGCATCTCTATCAAACTTCAAGAAAAGTAAAATGTCGGGTAGGCCAAAAAATCCGTATGATTTTTTCTGTAAAATAAAAGACAGATTTTTCATCTTCACCAATAACATTACTGATTTGGATATGTTGAGCATGTTGGCTAACTCCCACATGGTAGAATGCTGATTGTCCTCAATCAATGTCTCGATTTAACCTCTATCAACTTCAACTGGTCTACCCGACCATGGAGCATTGTCCAGTGAGAAATCTCTAGCACAGAACTTTGCAAACCACCCTTGACACGTTCGATCAGTCACAGCACCTTCTCATACACCGGTGCAAATCATTGTTTTGCATTTCAGTTGTGTTTTTACCTTCCTTGAAATAATAAAGCATAATATTCCAAAAATGTTGCTTATTTTCTTCCATCTTCAGTAATAAACAGCTACACAAAAATTCACCAATACACTGTGCGTATTTTTTTAAACACACAGTGATATGACAGTTGTTACATATACTCTAATAAAATTGTTTCAAATGGAGTTAAAGACAACTAAGCACTAGTAGAGCTATCTTATGAAGAGGAAAAAAAAAATGAACTTTTTGGCCAACCCAATAGATCCACGGACATAAGCAAGGTCAAATTAAAATACTAGACAGACTAGTGCTTGACTTATAGTGGTAGAGCCACAAGGTTCCCAGACAAAAATAGAACCATTACTGTGTCAATGGAACTTCAGAGTTAAGCCTCAGAGATTCCAGAAATTTGAGGCTTAAGTCTAATGGTCTCTTCATTCCTACACTTTGGAGTTAGTACAAATCTGGTTCCACACCACCACGGCCGAGTGAGTATAGCAATTTAGCAAGCAAGTCACAGTCTTTTTGCTGGTGGAAGGTCTTGCCTTCAATTTGTAAACAATGCCACATCTGTGAAGTGCAATAAAGTGAAGTGCCTATACCAAGAACTTACTTGATATTGGCACCTTAGGACACCAATTGAAGAGTTAAGAGTTGAAGAACATTAGGCATAGAAAGTACCCAAAGGTAAGGATTTTCAAACTTTAAGCACGTAAGCATCATCTCCAAGTCTAAAACAAGCTCAGAATGCCAGGCCACACTCCAGAGATGATAATATATGTGAGACCCCAAAATCTGCATTTTTAGAAAACAGCTCCGCTGATTCTGATGAAAACAGACTGAGGACCACAACACAAGAGCACTGTGTTAAGAGACTGCCTATCCAATCTCTAAGTTTACAGATGGGAAAGATAAGGTCAAGAAAATCTAGAACCCCAACTCTGTGGGTCTTCTACTTAGGCAAGCAAATACTATGAAGGCAGTGTCACCAGATCTTCTGGGTTCACTGAAGAAAAACAGAAATTCAGGAGCTTTGACTGGTATCCGAATCTCTGATGTATGACCTTGGCAAATGAAGAGCTGCATCTGGGATGGGCAGCATCTCCACTGCAGTCTGGGGTGGGGAGAAGCCTGTACAAATCAGGGTATTCTCTCAGAGACAGAAAGGGAAAGTTACAAATGTCGTCCTTCTTCACACTGACTTATGATTAAGTAAATACCTTATGTAATATTTGGCTCCGGGTGGCCTTCTAATAACTGCCCGTTATTACCTGTGTCATGGAGTTGGAGCAGCTCTTCACTCTCGGAGAAGGGAGGGGTCCTGGGCCTGTGCCTCCTCTCTCCGTGCTCACCTGGCCCACGCTCCCTCCCATACACAGCCTCCTTGCAGTGAATTCCTGCTTTTTGAGAAGATTTCGGTGCAAGTCCATTTTGGTGTCTGGACTGTTTTTCCCAATTCCGAGTTTGATGGCTACTGCTGGCCTCCCAGTCATCAGATTCCGTGCTCAGAAAGACCTCACCACGGATCTTGGGCGGGGGAGGTCTCCGGGGCCTCTCCTGTCCAGACCATTTTCTTTCACGTTGCTCAGGGTTAATTTGGGGAGGGTCCCTCACTTTGCCTGAGCTAGAAGACAGAGAAATCTGTGACCATAAACGATGGTGTTCCAGTTCGTCCAAGCTCTCTGGTGGATGCTGAGGCTTCTCCTTTCTCTGCTTCACAGTCTTTTCATGACTTTGGCGTTTACAAGACCTTGAGAGTCCAGAACCCAATTCCCTTGCCCTCCTTGACCGTGGCTGGTCTGAGTGGAGGTGGAAGAATGTGAAAAACAGAAATGCAGGTTAACTTAACGAGACTGAACTCACTATATGGGTGATACAGGGCCCAAGTTTAACCTATTTTAAAACGGAAAAGGCAACTTTTTAAACTTAACAAACTGAAAACAGGGGATGGGCATTTACTAGAAGGATTTGGGGTACATAACCAAAAAGGTAAAAACATGAATAAATTTAAAAAATTAAGTGAAATAAATCTGGAAGAAGAGCTTCATCATGATTAGGAAGAGTTAACAAAGTACTTTAATATTTGCCAATAACAAAAATTACAGCCATTAAATGTTAAATTATACTTACAAAACCAATTTGGAACTAGTATGTGAGGGAAAAATGGGAGTTGAGGGAATCTCATAAAACAGAAAAACTAAGCTTTGTGATTCCAGTCAGAGCTTTCAAGTATTCTTCTTGGAAATAACAATAAATCAACATCAGAATGTTGATAGTTTCCATGTAGTTCAGAGGAATGATCTACGGATTTTAGTATTCCTCTTTCCTTTCCCCTTAGGTGGCCAAAGCAAACATTCCCAGCCATATTGCAGTTCGATGTGGAAGAGAATGAAGTAGAGGAGTATTTTAAGTGAGTAAATCTCACTGTTATCTTTGGATAATTCTGCTCCCAATCTTACTTGAAACGTGGCAGAGGGAAAAATTAAAAAGGGACGCCGGATGGAAAACATAAAAAGGAGTCATTTCCTAAACTCATTTCAAAAAACTTTATGATCTGTAGTCTTTGTATAAAAATACAGTATGTGCTAAATATACAAGTCCCTAAGTTTAATACAACATTCAACAGCAGCACTCGGGTGCTTCTGTCAGGTCTCACATAGGCGCAAGCATAGTGGGGAAAAAAAGGAAGGAAATTAATATGCACTTTGAAAGAGTGTTTTTAACGTTTCTAAGACTTTTAATACATTTTCAAAATAATAAAAAGAAATCCTAATTCCATGGAAAATTGCTAAATTAGTTGGAATTAGCCACTTGCTGAATTGCATTTGAAACAGCTACCCCAAGTTGATGGGATATTACGGAAATAGACAACTATACATTTTCTTAGTTTCTAGGTCTTGTTTATTTTTTTTGGTTTTGTTTTGCTTTATGAGTTTCTTGTTTGTTTTTTTAATTTTGTTATTGTTAATGTAATGAAAGAATAGAGGAAAGGAAGATATATGTTAAATGTATCATTGATGCCATAAGCTTCTCAAACACTTGAAATTGTTTCTTTTTGAACTTGACAAGAAAATTTGCTTCAAAGGTGACATTTAAATTAAGCTGTCTTCTAAAAAGTCAGTAAAAATGCTTATCTTCATTATTTATGATTAAGTTTATTTTTTACGTAACAGTAAAAGTGAAACCACAGAACAATTACTATGTGATTAAAAAAATCTACTCTTTTAAACAAACTATTGTTTTAAGCGTAACTTGACAACTGAGAAAGAACCAATTGACTACTGCTGTGAATTAATCTAATATAGACCAGCTACTGAAATGAAGACCACATCCAGGGAACAATGATATACACTGTTAACACCAGAGTTCCCAAAGAGAGCTGCATGAGTGAATCTGCCTTTAAGGCCAAAAGAAACAAGAAGGGTTTTGTTTTCCACATGGGTCAGTGAGGTTATGATTATTTTGTTGTTGTTGTTTTTGAATTCCTTCTCAAAAGTTAAATGGTATTAGTAGTTTTACTTTAGAGAAATGTGTTGCAAGAATTAAAGCAGAGCTGTCACTACGTTTGCAGAGTTGATGGGATAAAAATATTTATTGTCTAGTTCACTGGCTATGGTAGCTTTAAATCTGGGAAAGAAAAGAAAGGATGGGGGGAGGAAATCAGTTTGAATCCTTTAAAACCCTCTTCAGTTAACTACTGAGACTTGTATGTGTCTTGAGACAAAGTTATCTGGCAAATATAATTGACTTCCAAATACAATTGTATACACACACACACATACATATACATGAATATATACACATGTTTTTTGTGCCTCCATATTTGTCTTTCAAAATAAGATTTTTGTTTAGAGATAAAAAATATGTTATACAGAAATAACATTAATATATGTATAAATAGTACTTGAGAGTTTATGTCTTCACCATAATTACATTATTTGATATTTTCAATATCTATGAGGATATATTATTATAATCCTCACTTTACAAATGAGAAAAAGGCTAGAGTGATTGATCACAAATAACTTCCTTAGATGTTGACTCCAAAGACCACTACTTAAAAAAAATCACTAACATACCTTCAATATAGGTAAGTGGCTTTGAAAGAAAAACATGGATTCACAAATGAGTAAGATCATTTCAGTTTAACAGAGGTGACAGATATTTGGTGTAATTACAAATTTGTACAAAATCTAAAAATGATCATTTTTAAAGTTAATTTATTAAATTTTAAGTAAAAAGCTGAAAAGATCACTTCTATAATAATATATTGTGATTATTATGTAAGGCAAAAAAATCACATTACATAAAGATAGAGAAGAACGATGAAATAGTATCTCTTATGTGTTGGGAAAAGACCACTAAAAAGAACATAAGGATTGCTTTGTAAAGACGAACTAGATTGCCATGTGATTTCTATAACTTCAACTGGGGTCCAACCCGAAGGCATAAACAAGGATCACGTGCTCAACAATACATAATCTCTCCTAACAATACAACTGAAGACAAATTCCAATATTTACATGCACATGCTCAGGAGGTCAATATTTCCTATTCCCAAACCCCTTCCAATTCCAAAAAGGTGGCATATATGCCACTGTCTATATGTTTACAGAAGCAGTTAAAAGAATATGTATAGACTTTTTTTTTTAACTTTTAGGTGTCCCTAAAAATTCACTGAATTCTGCCCTAGAGATATGAGGCAGGATGATGATACCGTGGTCAAAACAACTAGGTTTGAGTTCCAATTCAAGTTAATATAAGGTTTTAACACAGGCTAAAATTAGTATTTCAGGGTACTTCACTGCTTGCCATCCTAATGTTTTTACAGACTTACAAGTTCAAAGTAGTTACTTTTCTGTGCAGTAAAGAGGCCTCCAGAGCAGAATTAAAAATAAAAACAAATAAAAAACACCAGACTACATTTCTAAGATTTTAATTAAGTCTGAAGAATAACTCTTTATCTGCTGGTCTCTTGTATAGCAAAACATGGCAATAATTTTTCTTTTCAACTGCTGTAATACATGATTGCATTAGAAAAAACAATGTAAGAAAAATGGATATCAAAAAAGAGCTGGGCATTTTACATATGGAAAAAAAACACAGCAAGCAATAAATACAGAATCAACCTGCTTACCATTTATGCTGCAGAGCTGAGCTCTACTGATTATGATCAATTTAGAGCAACAATGTGACTGACCTAGCAAGGTGTACCTAAACTGTAGCAATCCTATCATCTATATACACATTCCTTTCATTCTACTTATCAAAGACAAACACTTACATACTTATATTTTATAATGAAATTATAGAGGCAATTGATCATTAGTTTGCAAGGACCTTTAAAATCCCTGCACTTAAAATCTTTACTTTCTAGAAGCAGCCTTTAGAATTCATTTGCTAGCCTAAGTATGGTCTTTAAGCTGAACTGCAATAAACACTCACACTAGAAACTATAGGAAATGTCTCTTTTAAAAGATCTTTAAAAAGGGCTGAGTAGTATTTGCAAATATTCGTTTCCCAACACACTTTTTGAAGATGAAGAAACTGCCACCACCACAGAAACTGCCACCACCAGGATGCAAGCACAGGTGCTAGAAGGAGAAACCGGAAAGGAACTTCTTTCCCTCAGAAAGTTTTCTATGTGGTAACCAAACAGCAAAGAAAGCATCAAGAGCAAAATAGCAACCAGAGAATCATGATTTTCATTTGTCATCAACAGACGAAATCATTGGCTTATGTTTAAAAGACAAGACTCATGGAGGAAAAGCTTTGTTACCTCGTAACTAATGTATGTTGCACCTTCTTTATTATTTGTGCCACTTGGCTGCTGCAAACCTCCTGACCAGATTTCCTCGAGAAAGACCCAGCCCACCATTTTTCACATCCCAATTTAGGTTCTCAGAATTTAATAACAGTATTCCCAGTGGCAACAGCACCAAAGAATACATACCAAATCTTACAAAACCATATTCAAGCTGTAACAGGCCTAAAAAATGGGCTCTGTCATCCAATAAAGAACATACGAATTCCTTAGATTCAGACAAAATTCGACCACAAATCTAAATGGGTCCTAAGGTCCCTTTATGGGCAAATTTAAAGGGTTGTCTCACAGTTGATGTAAGGAGAGAGTAGGTCATGACATAGGAAATGTTACCTCCATCTTCATAGTAGTAACTCTCTCCATAAGCATTGGCTCCAGAGGACTCTGGAAAGTGTTTCTTTCGCTTCTTCTCTTCCTGTAACTCCTTTTCTTGCAAAAGGCGGGCTATGTCCTGCAAATACACAGAGAATGAAGATAAATATTACCAAAGCATGAGCAAACTCCATATAATGACCCTACAGGTCAACGGTTCCACATTCCACTGCTAAACTTTTGTGGGCGGGCTCTGTCTATGGCTCTGCAGGCTTTCTGAGACTAAGCTCACACAGTTCAAATGCCATAGATGATTGCTCAACAGAACTGGCAGAAGACCCAGATGAGAGAGAGAGGCTTTTTTTTTTTTTACATTAAAATTTAAACCTAACTCAATCTGAAGATATTCAAGCCTAGTATTCCTAAAGTTGGTTATACAACAAAAATTGGTATCTATGGCCTCTTTTTCCAAAATGATGATTCGGCAAGTCTGTGTAGACATGGGTGCAGTAATCCATAAAATTTTATAAATTGCATTTATAATTTAATTTAAATACTTTTAAAAAGAATTTTTGGCTGATCCCCAATGAACTTTGCATTAGAGTATCACTGTTTTAACTGAAAAAGAGAAAACAGTTTTCCTCCTGTCTCCCCCCTACATCATCTCCAGGCAAATTTTCTGCAGTTACTCAGTGATAATTAATATTATCACCCTGTCCCCTAAAATATTACCATCCCCCCAGAAAAAAACAAAGATGTTTACAAATAACTGCAATACAATTAAATTATAAAACCTCAAAAGGAGGGTAAAAATGTCTACGGGCATACAAAAAGGGAATATTATCTCTCCTTAAAGGAATTAGTGCAAGGTTTTGCATCTGTGTTTGATTTTGGAGAAAGAACTGGAGTCTAATACACAAGTAAGTAAAGAGAACATCATCAGCGAAATTTTAACTGTTTTATGGGACACCAATCTACGGAATGATCAAAAGTCCAATTAGAACATAAGATGTGGACTCTTGTAAGAGAAAGGTGAGGCTAGAGAAGCAGTCTGAGGCTGAATCATAGGGACGCCTCACAGACAATCTTAAGAAAGTCTGGAGTCTATAATGTAAGCATGAAGGGTTAGGTTACTAAAAGTTTTAAGCAGAAGAGTGACAATGTTCTGGATCTAAAGCTTATTTCTGTGAAAGCCTCCAAAAATAGCACATAAATTTTGTATGGTGTACACTTTTTTGAAGAGAAGGTCCATAGCTGTCACTAGATTCTTAAAAGCTCATAAAAATATGGCAACTATACTCAAGACTGCAAACAGTAATTAAGAGTCATAGGTAGTCTGAGCTGCCTACTTCTTTATAATAAGGAATACAAGAAATGCTCAAATGTTAATGTAAATTTTGAAGCAAGAATTAATTACTGTTCTTCCTTTTGCAATTTTCTGAATAAATCAAAATGAAGAATATACTAAGACTGCAAAACAAACCTAAAAAAAAATCATCTGAATAAATCAATTTCTTTCACATCAGTGTAGAAATGAGTTGAATACTGAAGCTAGGTAAATTAGTAATGATTATCCATATACTCTGCTTTTAATGTTTATCAAAACAGGCTTACAAATCTGACTCTAAATTAAATAATGCCTAAATTAAAACCTATAAATACACTATTAATAACACTGCCTTTAATTGAGTGCTACCTATGTTGGAAGGTTCTCATAAAACTGTGTGAAAGATTTATGTATATATAGTTTGATAAATAATCTACTTTTATAAAAGCCCATATTATAGTGTCAAACATGAGTGGGGGGCACTCACAAAATGTTACTACTCAAAATGAGAAATAAAGAACACAAACCTACTTAACACACATGTAATTTTCATGCAAAGAAATCTGACTTTCTAACTCTTTAATGGAAAAAGTTCCCTAAGTCTGAAAATTAAGATGATTTTCTTTTTCCTTCCAGTTCAAGTCAGAGATGCTTTAGAGATACTATGAAAGGAATATAAACTACTAAAATGGATTTCTCTGGACTTCAATTCTTTATGCATACAATGAAGAGTTTAAAATACTCAATCTTGAAGTCAAATTTCTTGACTTCCTTATGTATCATTTTAATAAATCTGTCAGTGTTACCCGGTGTCAGCCACTGGCACAAGTTTATTACATTTGATGTCTTACAAAGTAATAAATATATAAATTAGTTAGGAAGACAGAGGGGTGGGACAGATAACAACTTATCTAAAAACTAGTGTATAGTATAGCAGAATTTCCCAAATTACTATACTTTTTACTGCAGAAATAAGGAAAAACTGCTAACACTTCCCTAAGTTGTCGTGTTTCCTAGGCACCCAACACTACATTTTCTAAGTGGTTTGTTCGTTTCACAAACAAAACAAAAAATTTTCTTTGTTATAATGGAATAAAAATATAAAGAAAAATTACCAGATCCAAATGTTAGCAGAAATTATTAAACTATACTCCAGGCACCTAACAACTACTTTCTTTTGAACTGAGTCCTAATAAATACAGAGTAATAAGCCACGTTCTCAGTGTGAAGACTCAGGAAGGAAACAAGGATGCATCACCTAGTCAAAGGAAGTAATTTTAATCAAGTAGAAAAATAATAATCATAATGTGGCATGCACCTTAGCACCCAAACCTTTTCTTGTTTTAAGCTCTCGGCTCTTTTCTGAATAACAAACGTTAGCTAGGCTTGAGGAGGGAAAGAATAAAAGATTCAATGGAAAATAGCTGCTATAACATAATTGTGGTTTAGCTGAAGTCAATTCTCCTCCTTGCTTTCCAATATTGTTACTGTGCAATGAGTTCAGTTGGGTGATTTCAATATAAAGAATTTCCCCTGGAACAAGTTGATGACGGCAACTATTAGTCACAATGCTTGGATGCAGCTTAGCCTCCTTTGACATAAATAATCTCCTTGGTTTTCAGCTTCCTTCCTGTTAAAGGTTAGTCTAGAACAGGGTGTCCCCAGCTCTGTTCATAAAAACACTGGTTACAAAAGATTCTCATAAAAAACTCAAAGCATTCAATGGAAAGCATGTATTATATCTAATTCTTTAAAATGCACATTAGCACATTCTAAAACTTTGATAAAAGAAATCTCTTATCTTCCAATAACTCAAGAATTTCCAAATTTACTTTGTGACAGCCTTTTTTATTTTTACATAAAAAATATAAACCTTATGGAATTATTGTTCCATAAAACATAACTTAGGAAAATTTATCTTAAAAAACTCATAAGCCCTTATAAAGTCATTTTCCATGATTATTTTTAAAAAACACTAATCATATTCATCGGTAGACTTATGTTAGACTAATACATATAGTAAAAGTCTGTGACATAGAAGATTTTCTAGTGAAGACATTTATTGGAATAAGAATTTAGCATTACATCTCATCTCTCCCTTTTGTGTTATCCAAGTCACACAACCGGAAAATCTGAAGCTGCGAGTGTTAAGGAAAGACACCGTTAAAAATCTCTAGAATGCTAAGGAAAGTCATTTTAATGAAAACAAAGATTTACTGATTCCTTTCAGGGAGCCAAATATTCTGTTTGAGACCTATAGAGAAACAAGATATGATCAATGTCCTGAAAGTCCTTATCTATTAAGTATTAGAAATAAATGATCACAAAACACGAGACATGCAAAGTGGGTGCTCTAACAGAGGCAGAAGTACAAACGAAGTGCCATGGAGTCCAGAGGAATCTGGCAGGTCTTCCTCAAGTAGCTAACATGTTAGTGCACCATGGAGTTGGTTTCCTTTTAGTATTTTTATGGTTTATATGATTTTATATCAGGGTTACTTCTCCCTAGGGAAATCATGGGTATCACAACAACCTGAAAGAAATCTAAAATTGTGATTGTCAAATGACTGTCAGAAAGAAGGAAGAAAAACAGAAAGCCATTCCATTAGATTGCTAAATTCTTTACCAACTAGCAATAAATGTATTAACATCTAACTCAGTAGGGAACTCAAAGCAGGTATAATCCCAAAAGGGTTACTCTTTAAGACCAGGAAAACAAGATAATTTCCATTCTATGGATATAAAAACATCAGTATAAACAGGATAAAAACAGAGAAGACTTTTTCTCAACCAGAAGCTGCCCATTCACGCCCCCTGTCTGGCCATATATGTATTAACTTATTTTTAGTAAGTCCCAAAACACAGGGAAAAATTTTAGTCCTAAAATGTATTACTATCTGAACTATTCCCAAAACTATACCAACTTACATAAAAATTCTTCTAGAACATGGAATTCTAATCAGTGAGAATGCTATGAAAAAGTACCATGGTTCACACTAGATTAATTTTTAATGTAAATTAGTTACTAAGTTTATCCCTCAGCAGTTCACATTAAAAATGATTTCAAATTGTTGGACTAGTGCCACAGACGTTTTATAACATGGTTGACCATGATGTTTACCTAAATAAAAAAAAATTTCTCTATAATAGTTTCTTAGAGTTTCAATAAGTTAAATTAACTAAACATATATTCCTCGGTTTTATTAAACACTGACAAATGCGTACGCTGGGATAAAAAAAATGACCCCAGTGAAATTGGTCCACTATTACTAATCACAAACTTACACAGTCCAGTATTCCCAAAGGCCCTTTCAACAGGGTGTCTAGAAAGGCATGCAACTACTATATTTAAGACACTGTGTAAGAGTTTAAAAAAGAAGAAAGAAGGAAGGTAAGTAGGGAGGAAGGAATAAAGAGAAATGAGGGGAAAGGAGAGAGAGAAAGGTGAGAGGCTACAGTGCCGGTAAGAATGCAAAAGATCTTTTTCCTTTCCTTTTTTTTTTTTTTTTAACTTTTCAACATCTGTCTCCTGGAAAAGAAATGCTGCTTTCCTTACATCTGCGCTCTGTTAAAAAAAGTAATAATGAAATAAAATTATACCATACCAAAGGTATACATGCAAATTTACCTTATATACATAATCTCATTTAAACCTCTTTAGTAGCTCTTTCAATTATGCGTAACTCATGGCTTCCCCAATTCAGAACCTGAATTTCTACATCGCTAAGTAAGATACTGAAAGTCACAGCTAAAAATTGAACAGCTAAGATTCCAACCCAGGGCAGCTAACTCCAAAGTCTACATGTTTTATGTCATGTCACAGTCCATCTTAGTCAGAAGCAGTCAGTCAGACCTGTACTGTACAAACATTTCTCTGGCATCTTATTATATAGTTTGGGACCAGTCACTTCTTCAGGTCATAATGTCTTCATCTGAAAAATGAAGTTATTCACTACACTGCTTACTTTATATAGTATCACCATGAAATTATGTATTGTGATTGCTATTTAGATTCTATATTCCTAAAATAAAGTGTTTTGGTTTCTCTTCATATCTGTTTTTCCCTGAAATGGGGGGGGGGGGGAGGAAGCAAAGTCATAGGACACCAACAGCATTTGTAAGAAGCCAACCATTACTCTGTTATTTTTAAATAGAAGCTTTCCTGTCTACAAAACATAATCACTTCTTTCAGTTCCCAATTTCAGTGCCAAAGCAGAGTCTTGACTATAGAGAAGCAACACATTCTGTAGTAAGAAAGAGCCACTGTGCTGATAACAGGAAGGGTAAAAAGTAATCCCTAATTCTTACTCGCAGTTCCGATTACCACAGAATCACGGTTTGTTTCTTAAAGAATCAGCTACATACACTCATACCAGGTGTTTCACACTCACCTGGCTATGAACAAGGAGGCCTATGGGAACAAAGATGGCTCAGTGGGAGCAGCAGCGTATATAGACTAGTTTACTGGTAGCCCCGATCCTATCTACTTAATATGGTGATCAAAGATGCCAGACAGAAGTGGATAGCCCTAGTTTATGTAAATTATTAACAGTGCTCCCTTTAACTGTGAAAAGCATTTGTGATTATACAATAAATACTATGATCATTCTACTATTAAAAATGATAAATCATTTTCTTCCTTATTATAAATCAAGACAATAGCCAAGTATAGCACAATAGGTGTGAAAGAAGGCAGGCACAGACTCAGTACAAAGTGAAAAATAAGAAATGCTGAAAACTTTAACAGAGAAGCAAGTAATAATAGTTAACTGCATATTCAAATTTTACAAACCAAGCACAACTGCTAATTTTAGTCATTTTTGGCTTTCAAAACAATTTAAAAATATATAAAGAATCAAACCAATCAATGCTTTGAGTCAGCACATCACAGGGAAGTGAAACAATTCCCCAAAAAAGAGTGAGAACAACAACTGCTCCTGGCCTCTCACAGTGACCACCCCCTGACCACTGTTCGGACTACACGTAAGTTCTGCTCTCATTCAAGTTTGGGGAACAGTCTACAGACAGACGCCCTGTATTGAGCTGAACAGTGTCCCTTAAAAATTCATTTCTGCCAAGGACTTTGGAATGTGATCTTATTTGGAAATAAGGTCTTTGCAGATATCATTAATTAAAAGGAGTCATATTGATTTGGGGTGGGTCCTCAATCCAATGACTGGTGTCACTAGAAAACAAGAGGACACGAAGGTACAGGGAAGAAAGCCATGTAAAATGGAGGTAGAGACTAAAGTGATGCAGCTACAAGCCAAGAAATGCCGAAGACTGTCAGGAGCCACCAGAATCTGGCGTGAGACAAAGAAGGGTCTTTCCCATAGGCGGCATGGCCCTGCCAACACCTTGATTTTAATTTCTAACCTCCGTAACATGACAGAATAAATTCCTCCTGTTTTAAGCCACCAAGTTTGCGGTACCGTTACAGCAGCCCTGGGAAACGAAATCACACATTATATTAAATTAGCCATTATCATCATTTAAGATTTCACCACATGCAACTGATTGCGGGGCAATAAACAATGGTCAATGGAGGGCAATACTTGGACTATGCATCCAAAAGAGGGGAGTTCTGTTGCCCATCCAGCAAGCCTACACTGAGCCCAGGAAAATGGAGAAGAATTGCTTCAGAGCTGAGCAACCCTTCCTCCATCAGGTGGAGGGGCATAACCAAGTTGTACCTCATCCTTCTTCTCCTGAATGCGGCGTCTCTCTGCCTCAATAGCCAGCTTTTCCTGGATTTCCTGAGCAATTTCACAGTCTTGTTGTTCACTGAAAAACAAAGGTCAAAATAAGATGAATCAAGAAAATAAGTAACAATTTACTGTCTCTCACTATGAGCCAGTGCATATATTTGTCTCACTCTATCTTTGAAACAGTGATGCAGGGGTTGATACTTGTCACCACCTTCAGATGAAAAAATTGAGGCCCAGAGTAGTGAAATCATTTCTCCAAAGTCAAAGAGAACGTAAGTGGCAGAACTAGAATCTGATCCCCAGAGACTACGATGAAAGCTACGTGCTTTTGCTACACTAGCATGTCATCGCGCACCACTAGGACCACTCTACAGTGCAACGGGCATGTTTGCTGCAAAGGAGAGGTGCACCATGAGATCGATGTCCACAAATATCCAGAAACAGAGAGAATACATACAAAAAAATTGAGTGAGATCACTAAAATGTCAGTAACACTGTGGTCGCCTAGAGGGGGTGATATGACTTGAAAAGAACTTTTATAAATTTTTAATTAGAGTTTTTTCAGTTTCAATAATGCTTTAAAAAAAGGAAAACATGTATATTCTGCAGCTTTGGTTCCCAGTAGAAACCTCTCTGGCTGATTCCATTTTACCTAATACTATGGCCACTAAGGAAAAACCAAATGCTGTTGATACTGCTGTTACTACAGTTTTGTTTGTTTTGGCATTCATGTGTTCAGCCAAGATATAAACATACCATCTTCTATGGTTGTAGGCATTATGCTCAGCACTGAGGATACAAACATGAATAAATCTTGCTCCTGTGCTCAGAAGCCCCCAACACATTTTGGTGGAAGAAATAAAAGAAGTATTTTGGTGGGAGACACAGCCTTTAAAGCAGTGCCCAGAAAATAGCAGTTCCCACAGAAGAGGCAGTGTGGCGCTCTCAAAGACGGCTACACGGCTACTTCTGGCTGCGGGTTCTAAGAAAAGTCAATGAATGGGCAGCTTAAAACTGGAATACACAGCTCTCGGGAGCCAACCCTTACACAAAAGGGTGAGCTAGGAAAGATGAACGTAAACATTCTTAAGAGTTTATGATCTACAAAGATGCTGGAATAAAATTGCAATTGTGATTTACATATGTAGTTCGTTTGCTAAACAAATATATCTTCTTATTCTCCTCCAGCCAGTAGAACTTAAAATAGTCAAGGAATCTCAGTGTTAGTTGTATAATCTGGTTCTTTAGTTAAATTTATTGGGGTGACACTGCTTAATAAAATTATGTAGGTTTCAGGTGTACAAGTCTGTAATACATCATCTGTGTATTGTACTGTGTGTTCACCACTCCAAGTTAAGTCTCCTTCAATCACCATCTACCCCCTCCTTATTCTCTCCACCACCCCCCTTATAATCTGCAGGATGGCAATCTTTTGTAATTGAAAAGTTTTGTTGGGGGGGAGTGATGGAGAGTGGCAGTACCCTACCTTCTTCGGAGAAACTGAAACCCAATATTCTATTCTAAGCAAAACTGAGGGAGAAAACGAAATAATTAAAATTATTCTCATTTGTACAAGGAAACAGTCACTTTCAACATGTCTGGAAATAGGTAGAGGTAGGTGAAAACAGGTATGTGCACACACCTGGGTGTATATGCACACACAAGACAGAAAGAGGATCCAGTGAATGAAAGGTTCCAGTGCCATGAAATCTACAGCATTTATTTCTTCCCTTGATGTTCAGCAGCCAAGACTGCCAGGATGTGAAAATCAAAAAACTTCATTTCTAACTTATTTATTTCAGCAAGGAATACCTCCAAAACCATGAAGACTTGGGCAGAAATATAATAATACCTGGTTCTTCTCTCAGTACTTATAACCCATCACTCTCCAAATATGATTCACATTTTACAGTGGTTTGTCTCTATAATCTCTCAATAACTTCGGTATACCCACTATCATTACCCTACTTTAGAATGTTAAACTTCTGCATCAACCTTAGACCTGGCCTTCATAACAGAGAACTGTGAATAATGTAAAAGGCAATTAATTTAGAATCCTTAAAATATTCCAGCTGGCTCTCATCTTCCCTCCATTTGTGACACAAGGCCTCCATACATCTCTGATCTGTCTCTTTTAACTCCGTAAACATGACCCCCAATGCAGGCCTCATCATCTCCCTCCTCTCTGCATCTCGATTGGCGACTGTCATCCATTCAAGCCTCACCATCTCTTAATGTGATCCCTGCTGAAGAGCAACCTTCAGTCTTGCCCCCTCCAGTCCTTTACCTATTCAGCCTCCAGAGTAAGTCTCTAAATAAAAATCTAAAACTTCTTCAATAGTTAATTCTCTATTATTTAAAATATAAAATCTAAAAAAATCTAAATTCTTTTACATAGCTTACTTTTTGGTCCAGCTTCTGGCCTCTTCTCCTACCTAACTGTGCTCCTCACTCCAGCAACAGTGAACATCCAGCAGCTACCACGCGATTCCTCGTTCTTCTCCCTCTTACTAGAATGGTTTTCCCTAATTATCACTATAAACTCCCAATTAACCATCCAGGTTCAGATTAAATATGTCATCTATGTTGGAAAGGTTTTCCCACTTTCTTCTCTCTTCATAGGCATGAAATTTACTATTCCGTTCTCTGTACCTCGTGCGTGTATCTCCACATAAAGTGTTCAGGGTGTGTTCCTAAGGCTACTAAAGGCAATGACTATGTTTATTCACATCTGTTGTCTCCAATACCTTCCATGGTGTCAAGGATAGCAAAGAGTAATTAAGAGTGTTTATTTACAAAATAAGGAAGATGAACAAAAAAGTGATGAATAAAGTCCTAACAATAAAAAAATAAAAAGGCAAACCCTTCTTTTCAAAGGCAGCAAAAAATAATAGGCTCTCCTATTTATTTAAACATGACAAATGGGAAAAAAAAAACCCAACTGAGGGGTGGGTCCTCTCAATTCTTCCTTTACTCCTTCTTCCTCAAAACAATTATCTTGTCATTAAATCCACCATTAGAGATTTAGGTATATAAGAGCTACTATCAAAGAAGAGATGTACTCAGGAGTCTTAGGGCACTGAAAAATAAAAAAAATAATTGTACTGTAAAAGAACTGAGATACGATCCTTCCATTACCTATTAAAGGAGAGGGCTGAGAAAGAACTTTAGTCAGACACTGAAGCTATGAAGAGAACTGAGTGTACAATTCAGAGTTTTCTGGAAGATTCTGCCTATACCTATAAAGCCTATACCAAGGGCTTTAAGGAATATAAGAGCAGCAAACACAGCTAGGAAATAGTAAAAGAACCCAGTTCAACTCATGAAGTTCTTTCACATACAGTTCTTCACTGGATCCCCAGACAACCTTTACAGCAGAGGGGACAGAAATCATCTTACCCATGTTTCAGGGAAGAATAATTGGGGGACCAAATGTCTCAAAGTCATACAGTTCAAATGCTGAGATTTCACACCAGAATCCACACATCCCAGAAACAAGCTAGCGTTCCAAAAACAAAGAAAATTTTCCAAATCAAAGAAAAAGATGGTCTCTCACACACACACACACACACACACACACACACACACACACACACTTTTTAATCTAACAGAGGAATCAGAATAAGAGAAGGAGTCTCCCTCTTCCCTGCCCTGGTTGCTGGCTCCAGAGAAAACCAGCCCTGGTATGATTCCCTCCCTCTTCCCAGCATCCTCACAGGTCTTTGTAGCGCTTCTGAAGCTGAGCCTGAGCTCTCAGATCTTCCTCTTGGAGCTGCTTAGCCACCTGGAGATCATGCTGGACCAAACGGTTCCGCTGAATGTTTGATGCCAAATGATGCTCAACTGGACAGAAAGATTTAGGAGAGGAATTACAGTGCGTTAGCTTGTTAATAATAAACCTCATAATAAACATAACAAGACTTTTCCACTGAAGAGTTTCTTATCCATCACTTTATTGTATATTCTCAATATTGCTGTATAATAGGCAGCACAGGAATTATTATCCCCATCTTTCCATTAAGTAAAAAGAAGATCAAGAAAGGTTAAGTAATTTGCCCTTGGTCGCATGGCGCATGGCAAAACAGTGGCAGTGCCAGGATTTCTACACAAATATTCTAAAGCCAAGGCCAGTGTTCTTTCTGCTCCACCCTATTTATAAGCTTCATTTTTCAATATTTATTTTTATTTTGACATATTAATGATTTACAAATTATATGTTCATTATTATGTACTTTTTGAACAACACATGTGATTTATTTTTCATAATTATATACATAGATACTCAGAAAAATCTACAGTCTAGATACCTTCATTGCCAGGAAAAAGGCCTTCAGGCCCCTATTCCCACGGGAAGAAACAGATCCCTATGCCAGCCTTTTACACACACCAGATACATGTGCGGATGAAAAAAGAGCCACATACTAAACCTAACAAGGTCAGAGGGGGCCTGCATGGTGGGCCTTACAAACTTAGATACTGAAAGCAACCACACAGGTTGGTCTGAAATTGAACTCATAATCTTAACTAAAAGTGAGTCACGGCAGGTAGTCATGTCCTAGTCCAGCACCTTCCTTGACGAAGGCCAACCTTTACCTTAACCAAGCCTGTCTATTGTCTTCCTGCATCTAAGGTAGTATACCTTTGAGATGTCAGGGCAATCCCTTTTTCCACACTCCTCAGGATACAAACCACACCAGAGTAGGAGACCACAGAACCCCTTGTTATCCTGTTTCCCTGCATACCATCACTATGTGCTATAAACATTAATTATTAATGTTTATACCCACCAATGTAAAAGAAGCATGTGCCTCTCCATTTCACACTTTATCCAGTCTCAGAGATTTCCCCGATTTGCCTTCTCCCACCTCCCTAATCTATCGCCAATGGATTTCATGTACCTCTCCCTATGCCTCCTTTTTGACTGTAATGTATAACATAAACTGCAAATCTGCCATTCTCAGGAGCATTTGCTCAATCTGTTGCGATTCTGCTTCTGGGCGACTGCCATCAGTTTGGCTCACATAAACTCACAAAACTTCTCTACAGATTTGGACATTTCTTGCATTGATACACCTACAACCAACGCCTCCCTCCTACAACATTTAGGCAAAAAACAGTTTCATTTAAACAAAGAAAAGTATCAAGTCCCTCTTTTCCCCTAATGTACCCAGCAGTCTTCTAACACCCAGCAGCTGTCACACTTCAAAATACCCAGAACTTCATTCGTCATCCAGGCGTCATCCGCTGAGACAAAACTCCCTCAGAGGGATGACTGGAGCTGCCTGGTGGCTGTGTTCTCTCCCTGCCTCGCCCTAAGAAACCCGCCTCAAGCTGCCACTACTAGAAAGAAAGCTGGAGGAGCCTGAATGAGGGCTGTTACTCACTCTCTTGTTCCTGCAGGTTGTGGGCCAGCGTGTGGTCCTCTAGGACTGCAAAATCTCGACACACTGCAGGTGATAAGGGGGAAAGAGCAGACAGGAAGGTTCATTAGCAGTATTTTAACATAAAAAAGAAAAGCATTTTTTTTTTTACTTCAAAAGTCAGTTCTCACATTTCAAGATGATGAACTTTATAATTTGCATTGCACAAAACTGTCTAGTTAGCCTAGTCTTCATTCACAAAACAAACAAAAACAAATTCACATAGTACCTGCTCGGTGACAAGCACAAAATAATGGTTACCTCTGGTCCCTGGCCTAAATATATTAACCACAGAATCAGAACCTAGAGGTCAAGGAATTCCAATCCACTTCTATAAAGGGAGGGCAAGTACTGCTGAAATAATAAGACAGGATGTTCTGCATACTGCAGCTGAGAGAAAGCTGAGTTCTCATGGGGTCAGAGGAATAAATAAACCTAGCTAATGCTTCAGCCTTCTTGGGTTCAGGGGATCCTCTCCCATAGACTTATGCCTATCCTGGTGTCAATGAGGAAACCCGTATCTTCATTAGTCCCTGTGGTAGAAACAGATCTCTGCTTTAAGGATAATCACATTCTTTAATAGGTCCACACCCTTAGACATGAGTTAGAACAGGTTCTCTGTATTTTTCTAAAAAGAATCTGCAAACCAAAAGAAAACAGAAATCTTGGCATATACCAGGAATCCACCCCTAACTCTGCCTCCAACTGGAGACCCAGAAAGAGCATTTGCTGACCTATTTTCTTAAAAACAAATGAGAAGAGAAGAGTCTCCAAGGTCCATTATACCCCAAATTGCAATTCAAACTCCTGCTTCTTAAAACAAACATGCAGGCAGGACTCTTACATAAAGTGCTGTTTTGTTTGTTTGTTTGTCTTAAGGATATGTAGCATAGGTGATATGTCCTTACACATTTGTGTAACTGACATTAAAAAAGAAAATTCCCCCAAAGCCTCAGACTACTGCAATGGTTAAGACTTACTTAACCACCCCCTACAGCTTACCAGAGGTTATGGATTTCCTTCTGCAGATCTGGATTTGCCTGTAAGGACATTTAACTAAAATGGAGTGCAGAATCGCGCCTTTGCCCTTCTTAGTATTGTATGCTTATATATACATTCATATAGCCTTGTCCTTTATTGCAACAGAAGAGTAGGTAGAGCTTGGAGACATCAAGGTTACTCTGATATGGTTTTATGATGGAGGAATCATTTCTGCCCCCAAACCATATTAAACTAAATATGATCTGATTAGTTTACCCTTGTTCAAATGCAACTACAAATACAGTAATTTCCACAGAAAGCCCTGTTCAGATATATTCTCAGCATATTCTAACAACTTGAGGTCCAGATGTGAGTAACCCAATATTTCACAGGATCAAAGTGCCTGCAAGATAAGCTAGTTTAATAGTTGAGAAAAATGAGAGCCAGAAAGAAGAAAGAACTTATCAAGGTTATACACTGGCTGCCGATAATAGTACTGGGAGTCAGTTTCCAAGCCAGCCAGAGTTCTTTCCTTCCCTGACACCAGGGGAGCCCTCCTGGACTCCAGGCAAACCTTGGTCGGAAAGGACTGGAAGGAGTTACTCTACAATAACGGACACGAATTCTCTAAAACACTTAGCTAATTAATCTTAATTAAGTGGCTAAGATATGTGTGTATTGAGTTCATAGAAAACAAATACTCAGAATGAATTAGCCAAAACAAACATAATCACATCTTGAGTGAAAGAATGCTATTTTAATACATGACCTTAATAATTGTAGCACTTTTATTATACAAAAGCTTATGTTTGTATATTAATGTCAGTATTAATTTTAGATAACTAAGATTAGATTAATTTTAGATTAACCTTAATGTTTTTCAACTTATTATTAGGTCAGAAAATCAATTTATTTAAGTCTGGGACAAACATTTAAAAATGTATCGGCTGGAAAATAGAGGATATCTCATATATACAGGAAATTATGGTTTAAAGAAACATGTTCAGTCATATATACACATGTGTTTATATGATATGTGTTGTCACAATGTAAAACATCACTCTGTAATTACAGTCAAATAGTTTAGAAGCCATTTCAATTTATGTTATTAGGTAAGAAAGTTACAGCAGAAAAAATATTTTGTATGTGTTTAATGTATTTAATGTATAATGTAAATTATAAAATTATTGCAGTTTACCATGTATACAACCATGTGAAGAAAGGCAATAATTTATATTTATTTTAGTAGACACATTAAAAACATAATGTGTATGTTAACAAACACCTGCAGTAAAAATATGTATTTTTTAATATATGGCACTGACACAAACTACATTTAGAATAGCAGTTACCTCTAGAGAAAAGGAAAGGCCAGGAGCACCTTAGTTGGATATGCTATGCTACTGCTTTGTAAGTGAACAAAGAAAACTGAGCAAATAAAGTGAACTATTAACATCTATTAAATTTAGGTGGTAGATCCTTTGGCTTAAATATTTCCTGTGTTTTGTGTAATGTTTTACATTTATATACATCACATTTATAATTTTATAATTACATAAAATTTTTAAAAAATCCACATTTTCTATCAATAGCATACCTTTAAGACATTTGACAAATCCTAACAGATGTGAGAATTTACATATTTCTAATTACCTTAACAATGACTCTTTTTAATGATTTTCTTAATATTTAAACATCAAGATTGAAGTATATTCAATTTTTGTGATTTGACCCTGAATTTTCTTACAGCAGATGATGAGTTTGTACCCACGAAACATGAGTATGGGCTGAGCTAGAAGACAGTGTAGGTCTTCAAAAGCTACATGGAAGTACACATACTCAAACACACAGAGAGCTGTACTGTTATTAAACTGACTTAGCACTTCAGAGTTCACTATGCACTCCCAAATATATAATTTCATTTATGCTGACACATTTTTGGCTCAATACACAATTTCCTCTGCATCCACTATATTTTCTTCTATGTATTCTCTGCATCGCTACTCTAATGCAAACTAGAAAACAATTACACACCCAGCCACCTTTGGAAAACAGTAACCAAACTGGGAATTACTGCAGACATTTCAGTCAGGCCAAGTTCAGAGTCAGGGTATTTGGGGTTTTTTTCTAATGTACTCTGACACTTTGAGGTAAACCGTATAAACAGCACTGAGGGTAAACAGCATAAGCTCATCTCACTACCCTTCCCAGTGGGCACATTTATGATGCACCACTGGACCTGGGCTTTCACCCCACACTTCTCAAGCTGTTTCACTCCTGTGTGCATTTTACTCACTCCAACCTCAGTCCGATCTCCTTGCCATGAAGCCAACCACACCATTCTTCATTCCCATCCAGACCTCAGTGGTCCTATAGCCTCTTCCCTACTGTAATAACCATCTTATTCTGCCTCCTTGCTGAGAAAATCATCCACAGAAAGAAATACACATTATCCCTAAACTAAGCAAACAGCTGCCTCCCCATCCAGTTGCAAACTCTTCAGGGCAGGGGACCTGTGGGACTAATCTCTGCAACTTCCACACAATTAATACTGGATATAGCATATAGTAATACTTCCAGAGATGCACAATAGGGAAAAATGAAGAAAAACTGGTGATTAAAGACAAAAAACAGTTAAGTTTCACAAACAAAAAAAACAATATTATGAACAGAATTAAGCTCGGCCCTCACAATGGCATTATAAAGATGTACAAAATTTTTCAAACATCATTTCAAGAAAATTAAAAACCTCCCCCATTTGCATTAAAGAAAATATAGCTTTAGTGATTTTCTTTAATCTAGGTATATATATATATAAAGAGCAATTTAATTTACATTAAGCCAAGCAAGTCTCAGAAATAAGAACTGGGATTTTATATATATAGATAGGTAGAGACTGATATTCTCTCTCTCCCCCCCCCCCATGCACGTGCACACACACACAGGGGTTGGCAAAAGTAAGTTTATAGTTGTTCATATGGAAAAATACTTGAAGGTTATGAGTATTACAATAGCTTTACTAATTCCAAAGAATGTCACAATGCAACTGTAAACCTTCTTTTGCCCAAGCCCAACGCTGTATATATACATACCCTTGAAGGGAAAGATGGTTTTCATTCACGGTGGAACTCCCTATATAAATGGCATAGTATGTACCTAGCAAACTCATTTATTCAACAAACATTTGCAGACTTTAGGATGAATAAGTCACTTCCAAGACATTAAGGAAGTGAAGATGACAAAATGGTAAATAAGAATATAATATAATAAATGTTATAAAGACTTATAGAAAAAGTCTTTGAAAGTATAAACCATGGAGCAGTTATGCTTGTTATGATTTGGAGGTAGGTTAAGGAGTGGGGGTGACTTGAGAAGGGCATATCAAGACTCCTTAAAGAGTTAACATACAAAATGAATCACAAAGGAAGGCTCAAATTCCTATGGACAGATATGGTAAGCGATCTTGGCAGAAGACCCGATTAACTCCACCCGAGCTAGACGGGAAGTGGGCTCATCCCCCGTCTGTCATTCGGCTACACACATCCCAAAACTGTCTGAAAATACAATTCCTATGACTCAATCTTTACAAGCTTCCACCCGCATAAAAGGGCCTGGATTAATAATACATTCACTAAAAGCTATTTCTTTCAACTGTGCTTGCAATTGCCTTTTATGTTCTGGTATAATTTTGCAAATTATTTGGGGTGGGTGTGTGTGTGTGGGGGGTGTGTGTGTGTGTGTGTGTAAATCGGGGTGGGGTGTGGTGTGTGTGTGTAAATCGGGGTGGGGTGGGTGTGTGTGTGTGTAAATGCTATTAGCAGATGGAACATACTCACTGTTGTGTGTGTGTGTGTGTGTGTGTGTGTGTGTGTGTGTGTGTGTAAATGCTATTAGCAGATGGAACATACTCACTGTTTTGAGACCAGAGATTATGCTTGCTTTCTTTTGTTCTGCACACATTCTCTATGAATGAGAGAGATGTTCCAGACTCATTCTTTGTCTTAAAAAGTTTGGTAATGGCAGTCAGGCACAACTGACATTGATAA